TATATATACGCTCATTGTCAGACAGTCTAGTTACACTCTTTCGTAGCCAACTCATGTCATCTACTCAGACCCACCTTTGAGTATCTTGTCACACCTAGCCGTCTGCTATACCTCGCCCCTGTGTCGTATCCCCCATACCCCTACTCGAGCATTGTGACTGGAGACCTGACCCTTACCGGTTAGTCGAAAGGAGCAGCGCTGACACCATCCTCCTCTCATACTTCGAGTCCTGTATGACCTAGAGGTCTAGGGATACCTAATACTATTAAGACCCTTAACTGTTACTCTGTGCCTATCGCCTTAGGCCGTCCCTAACAGCGTGTTCCTAACACTAGTAGTCTTTTATCCTAAATCTCTCCTCATCCTTTATAAGGACCTCTTAGAGAATAGTAGTATAGATAAGCCCTACCCGAGAAGTAGTGGCGTCGCGACAGGTTAGTGAGTCGACACCGCCATAGCAATCGTGCGACAACTGCCCGAGACCGGCTTCCAGGATATCTACTATTCGAGTGTAGATTGAGAGGTGGTGAGCAGCTCTCTGCTGGACACAATAACGGACACGGCTCTGGAGATGATGTCGAGTAAGAAGTGTAGCGAGAGCTGAGAGGTTATTATAGAAGAGTTGTAAAGGACCAGGGAACATCGTCCAGAAGTGATGCTGAAGCTTTTGCGAGGCAAGCGCTCTAAAGGACGAGTATAGCCCCTCTCTCTCTACTTCGTGGTGAGGCGTGTGACCTTCCGACAGCTGTTCTATCCGCATTAAGGTGTCTTTCGCGGTTGTACAGGCTATGAGGAGGCGGTTGAGATCGTTTTGAGTTGAGAGGGTTCCGTACTCGGCGTTAAATGAAGGTGGATTTGAGAAGTGGTCGTGCAGATTATAGAGTGTAGGGAGGAGCCTACAGTACTCGACCACGACATCGAGGACAGATGAACTAGGCCTGACTGTGTAGTATACCCTCTCGTCACAGATATATAGACCTCGAGCGATATAGTCACCACCGGACGTCCCGGCTGGGGGCCTAAGAGCGGCGTGAGTGTCGCGTTGGTCGCGGGCAATGATATTTAGAGTGCGCAGGACTGCGGCGATGCAGCACGTGAGTGACAGGACGACTAGCACAAGCGCCAAAGTCTGGTAGAGTAAGAGCCATGCTGCGAGGAAGGGCCTCTTGTAAGCCTGCGGGGCAGCCTCGACGGGTGGCATGGTGTGATGGTAGGCGGGAAGAACACGTTGACAGTATATAGCGAAACCATTATTCTCTACCTAAGCCATGACCCGAAAATCTGTTATTGCCGAACCTACATTTGATGCTACCTGAAACATATAATCTACAACTTAGGCTTGGGGGAACCCAGAAGCTCAGCTCCAGCGCCGGCAATGCATAGCTTGCCGGTCTCCTTGACTTTGGTCTGGAAAATGACCTTGTTGCCCTCCTTCCACATCTCGGTCACCAAGGTCTGGCCCGGAATGACAGTCCCGGCGAAGCGGACCTTGATGTTTTTGAACAAGCCGTAAGTCTGGACGATATGTTTGCCGCTGAAGCCGAAAAAGCAGAGACCGTGGAGGATGGGCTCTTTGAAACCGCCGACTTTGCTAAACTCGGGATCGATATGCAGAGGGTTGCGATCACCGTTCAGTCTGTAGAGAGCAGCCTGATCCTCGGAGGTCTTCTCCTCCACGACCGCATCCGGCGACCGCTTGGGCGGCTGGTAGATTGCTGTGGCGTTACCACGGTTGGTCCCATTCTTGGGCCCGCCGAACCCGCCAGAGCCGCGGACGAAGACGGTCGACTCGTTGTAAAAGACGTCTTCGCCCGTCTTCGCATCCTTGGTGACCGTCCCGGTGACGACAATACCGGCCTTTCCCTTGTCGACGACCTCGACCAATTTGGGATAAGAAACCAGCTTGGCCGCAGTGGGGATGGGGTATTTTCGAATCTCGAGGTATTGCTCCCCGTGAAGAAGCATCATAGGTGAAAAGTTGGGTAGGACCTCGTCCATCGAGAAAGGTGCGACAGCGCCGAAGTAAGGGATGACACCGAAGGTAGGGAGAACCTGGAAGTTGTCGTCATTCTCGTACACCAGAGGTAATTGTGTTCGCTTCGCGTTCAGTGACAAGTTGTAGAGGATAACGTCTCTGTCGTCGTAGACGAATTCGGTGCCGCTGGCTTGGGCTTTCTTCGCCTTTTCGATGGCAGCCAGGTAATCGGTACCGGAGGCTGCGCCATCGGAGTTCTTGCTCTTGTTCTCCATGTTGGCCATGATGGACTTGAGACCATCTTGGCCAGACTCGGGATGGTCAGCTCGGCCGTCGTCAAAGTTGACGATCTTTTCCCATTGCGAGACGACATGCTCTGGGGTCAGTTTGACATCTACGGGGAAGCCATGGCCCCCCGATCTCTGCCAGCGCGTTCGTGCTTGCCAGCCGCTGCCGACCTCGAAGAGGAGCCCTGTCGGTGGGTCTGGCACTTTGTCCGAACAGAGGGCAAGGACGAGAGGAGCGACAAACTCGGGTCTGAACAGCTGCACCAACTCCTCGGGGAGGATACTCCGAGTCATTTGCGTACCGGCGTTTGGTGCGATAGTATTGACGAAGATGTTGTTCTTGCGGCCTTCCAGTGCGAGGGCTCGAGAGAATCCGAGGATACCGAGTTTCTGGTTGCGTCAGCTACTGCCCCAACCGCGATCGGACACACTTACAGCAGCAGCATAGTTGGCTTGACCAAAGTTGCCGTAGATACCACTCGTGCTGGTTGTGTTGACAATACGACCATACTTCTGCTTGACCATGTAAGGGTATGCTGCCTTGGTGACCTTGTACGTGCCGCGGAGATGAACGGCGATGATATCGTCCCACTGCTTGTCATCCATGTTGGCGAACGCCTTGTCCCGTAGGATACCGGCGTTGTTGATCAGAATGTCGACTCTACCGAATGTATCGATAGCCGTCTTGACGACGGCGTCCCCGTCCTCAACCGAAGCCTTGTTGCCGACGGCTTTACCACCGAGTTTCTGGATTTCTTGCACGACGGTGTCTGGGTTCATCAGGTCGTTCACCACGACGGACGCGCCGAGCTTGGCAAAGGCCAGTGCGTAACCTCGCCCGAGGCTAGGGTATGTCAGTACTAACATCTCAGAGGAACGAGTCGACATACCCGGCACCGGCGCCCGTGATCAAAACAACCTTTCCGTCAAAGCGAATATCCTCGCCTTGTTCATTGGGCGGTAGTTTCAGAGACTCCTCTGACTTGGTGACGAAATCGGCGACTCCCGTGGGGTATTCTGGCTCGGAGAAATCGCTGACCTTGTCCCATTTCTTGAGGATGGCGCCCGGCGTGTACGTCTCATCAGCTCGGAGCAGAAGACCTTTGGCCCGTTCCCATCGCAACTTGGCAATATGCCCGCCACCGACCTCGAAGATTGAGCCGGAGGTGTGGGTGTTGGAAGGGTGGACCAAAACAGCGACCAGGGGCACCACCCAGTCGGGCTTCAAATTGGCCAGAACGTCGGGAGGCATCACCGTCTCGGTCATCCGGCTGGCGGCGATGGGAGCAATGACGTTGCAAATGATGTTGTACTTGGCGCCTTCCTTTGCCAATGTCTCCGTGAAGCCGACTTGAGCCAGTTTCGCCGCGGAATAGTTGCACTGACCGAAGCTGCCGAAGAGGCCGGCAGCGGAGGCAGTGTTGATGACCCGGCCGTACTTCTGTTTCCTGAAATATGGCCACGCAGCTCTTGCGCACTTGTATGCACCTTTCACGTGGACGGTGTTGATCAGATCCCAGTCAGAATCCTTCATGTTCTTGAAGCTGACGTCCCGGAGGATGCCGGCATTGTTCAGGAGGACGTCGACACGCCCGAAGTTGTCAATGGCGGTTTTGATGATCTTGTCACCGTGTTCGACGCTGTCGTAGTTGGCGACGGCTTTGCCGCCGGCAGCCTTGATCTCGTCCACCACGGCGTCCGCGGCCTGAAGATACGTGAGCAAGTGACGGAGGTGGATGGAGCATGTGACAGTGCGCGACTCACCTTTGTACCAGCACCATCGCCCTTGAACGAGCCTCCCAGGTCATTGACCACGACATTAGCCCCTCTTGAGGCGAAGAAGAGGGCGTATGCCTTCCCCAGACCGCCACCCGCTCCAGTGACCACCACGGTCTGGTTATCGAAGCGTAATTCTTGCACCATCGTCACCCGTTCACTCGTCGCTCAAGGAAATGCGGGATGGGTTCCTGCTCGCGCCTGAGACGTGGAAAGGGGACAGGAGGGAGAAGATATAGCGGCAGTATTGACTACGGCCGCAAAAGCCAAAGGGGTGTAGCCGAAAACTGATGCCGGCAGGATGATGAACACAGCAGAGTGGCATTCACAACACCTAAGCTCGCGAGAAAGGCAGGCAGGAAGACTGCGGAAATGTGCCCATTGGCGAGCCTCGGTGTCGTCAGTGCAAAACCAGCCGAGGCACATGATCACATGACCGTAGAGCTCCCTTCCAGCCCCACGTAAACTCCTGCGTTCCCGTCCTCCTTCATCCATCCTCCAGCCATCGGTCAGCGAACCCATCTCCGACAACGCCCACCGGATCCCGTCCAAGCCTGGCCTCCACAATTCCCGATTCCGGTCGGCATGTGAAGATTTGCGCACCCAGACTCTCCTACTGGGCAGCTGCTTCGACAACGGGGGAAGAATAGAAAACACCTGCCCGGCGAGGCTCTAGAAGGCGTAACCTCAAAGGTCGATGCCCATCGGCGCAGATGAGCATCCCTTCACAGGCGATGGAAGTGTCTACGAATACTCCGTAGTTTTCCCACAAATAACTTCGCAATATGAGTAGTGCAAGCAGCTCTGCCGGAGTCTACTTGCTCCGCTCGAATGCGGGCAATCTAATATCCGGGCATCAATGAACGTTGCTCACCATTGATTTCTTCATGATTTGTTGTGCTGGACTCCCGAAGCCCATCCAACAGGGGACCAATTGGAACCAGAACACGGCCACAAAATGCCTGAGATCGTCGACGACAAAGCCCAGCACGTAGTGCCCTTTATACTGTCTCTGCTCGCCGAGCATCAGAAAGCACATTCCGCGTCCTCGAATGCACCACCCTTCTTCATCGGCCTCAACGGCGTCCAAGGCGCGGGGAAAACGGTGCTCGTCGACATTCTCCAGAAAACACTAACCTCGCCACCACACAATCTCCCGACCGTGGTCTTCTCCCTCGACGACCTGTACCTGACGCACGAGGACCAAGTCTCTCTCGCCCAGGCGCATCCCGACAACCCACTCCTGCAGCACAGAGGGCAGCCATCGACGCACGACATCCCTCTGGCCAAGGCCGTGTTCGACGGCCTGAAGCACAACAGACGCACCAAGATCCCGCAGTACAACAAAGCCGCCTTCTCAGGCCAAGGCGACCGCGTCCCGGAGACGGAATGGGCAGAAGTCAACACCGACGCCTCTCACCCGGTCCGCGTCGTCCTGTTTGAGGGATGGTGCGTCGGTTTCCGCCCCCTGTCCCCCGAGGCGTTACGGCAGAAGCACGCCGCGGCCGTGGAGGCGCTGACGGCGGCGACCGCGGAGACGCCGTATCGCGGACGTCTTGGGCACAACACGCTCAGCTCCGTCGCGACGATCAACGAGGCACTGCGCCAGTACGACGAGCTCACGGCCCAGCTCGACGCCTTCGTGCACATCGACGCCCTCGACCCGCTGTACGTGTACAAGTGGCGGTTGGAGCAGGAGGCCGGACTTCGGGCCTCGCGCGGCAGCGGGATGACGGACGACCAGGTCCGCCATTTTGTCGACGGGTATTATCCCGCTTACGAGCTCTACACCGACACGTTGAGGGACGGGGTGTTTAAGGGTGTCAAGGAAGATTGGAAGGGGAGGCAACTGCGATTGGTGGTGGGTGAAGATCGGAAGGTCAGGGAGGTCGTCAAGATATGAGGCACCTCCCAGCCAGGAATTCTGTGTGCAACCGAGGGGATTGAAAGTAAAGCTGGTACGCGGCGGTATGGAACAAGCTCCAACCACGAACAACAGTCGAGTATGGTAAGCAGAATGCGTCTCTGCTGGGACGAGGGGTCGCCCAGAGCAGCACGCAGGACGGGGTCAGTGCTTCGAAGCTAGTTGTCGGGCGAAGTGTCGAACATGCGTGCATGCATCGTGCAGAGAAATGAAAGTCTCTAGCGGAAGAAGGAGGCGGGAGGGGGGAGCCAGAGTCGAAGCTCCTTTGGTCCAATCCATGGAGCATCTCAACTCTCACGGACCACCCGCTCTGCTTGTCAATCTTGACTGTCGTGCCTGTACCAGGCTCTACTTATCCGGCCCAGGCCATCTCCGTCTGGAGTCCACTGTAATGCGACATTCGAGTCTTAGATACCGGGCCCGCGGAACCTTAGACAGAACGATTCCTCTCGTAGCCATGGTCATGCTTGGTGCTTCTGAAGTCTTCAGAGGCGAAGCACTGAACGCTCGACCGGTTGGTTCGCGACTCGAGCACTGAACACTCGACCGGCTGGTTCGCGACTTGGGGATGAATAATGGTGCACCTGGGACCGACGGAGCTTCTCTCCACAGATCCACGTGAAACAAACAATACCATGCTCGAGACTGTGGTCCCGTGTCTCATTTTTGTTCTGATCAGAATACCACGTCCCTATATAGAAAGTCTCCAGCCGCCATGGACCCGTCGGCCTGCGTCGTATCTGGGGCCGCCCGCGCCACAAGAGAAAGAGGACGACGACGGGAGCAGGAGAGACGCCGCGTCAAGAGAAATTCTGACCTCGCAGTCGATCCCGACCGAAGTGGAATGAATAAGTACTATCTGCTTGTTACCTGCCCTGTGTCTCCTTTATTGCCCAGAAGCGCTCTTCACTGAAACCTCCCCTATCTTTGTTATCCATATGAAATCGCGTTTGTCACCTTCCAATAGAAGGGTCGTCCGTCCCACGAATACACCGGACTAATAAAGATGCTGTTGTGTTCAATGACGTGCGACCACCCGAAAGACTGCGTTGAATTGCAGCGAGCAACAAGATCATGCCCTCTTGTTGTTGATGGCCTTGAGATGAACATCACTACCACAACAAGTCAGTGCCTGGCTCTGCACAGAACGCTTCTTCTTCACAACAGCGACCGGGCGTGCCACCGAAAGGACCAAGACAGGGTAGACTCACAAGATGAGGGTGGCGTTCTTGGGAATGAGACCCGGGAAACCACTGCGCGCCAGCAACTATCAGCACGAAACCATCAGGGACGGCAATGATTGACGAATGAAATCTGTACGAGTGACAATGGGCCAAGTCCCAAATCTGCGGTCGACGCTTGGAGAGAGTCCACGTGGTGCGGCGCGCAACGTCACACGGCATAAGGGAACCGACGGAGTTAGGACGAGCCGGTGCTGCCAGGCGCATTGCAATCATGCAGGCATTGAAAAGGGGAAGTTGGGGAAACCCCGTGTACCGACCTTTCACCGTATGCCATATGCCTAGGATGATGTCAGTCACGAGTTCCTTGTTCTTTGGAGGAGGCCAAGCAAGGCGATTGTAGCAGAGCCGAAGAGGATGGAGAACTGCGACCTTCACACACCAGGGAATGGGCGGAGACCACGGTCCCGGCGCGGCTGGCATTGTTGGAGCACTTACCCTGGAATCGTCAATCTGCTCTTCTCGCCCAGAGACATCTGCGGCACACCCTGATCCCAGCCTAAGCTCAAGCGGTTAACACGCGCGGGTCATATCGATCGTGGGTTGGCTTCCTCACCTTGGATGACCCTGCCCACGCCGATCTGGGTTTTGAAGTCTCCGCGGCCGACTGAACTGTCGAATCTGTTCGCAAAGGTCAGATCTGCTCACAGAAGCGGCGCCCGTTGCGAGCGACGAAGTGACGTACTTGTCGCCCTTGTAATCTTGGTTGGCCTTCGAGGCATCGTACAGCCAGCCGGTGTACTCGATTGTGACCTCGTCGCCGCTCTTGGGGTAGTCCACATTGTTCCCGGCCGAGAGGAGCTTCTTATCTAGTCGAGTGGCCATTGCTGTCAGGGTATCTAGATCTATGAGACCTAGCGTCTGGTATGTCTGGAAGAGGGGGCTGCAGCGAGGTATGCGATCAGATGTAGTGGCAGTGGAGCCTGGAGAGGATGAGTACGATGGGGAAAGTCAATTCTGGTCTTACGGGAGAATATAAAGGATCAGATCCGGATGACGATCAGAACATTGATGGTAAGAAAAGTGGAGCAGAGGGTCAAGGTCAAAGGAGGAATGTGTTTCAGGCATGCGTTGGATCTTGGCAGGAGCAATGGGCTGGGTGGACGACGCAGAGGCATGAGTGAGTGGGATAGGCGATTACTCGAGCAGTTGGGACGTCGGTGGTGGTGTGATTTGCTGTCAGGCAAGCGGTGTATGGAAATTTGAAATCTGCTCCTGGGAACGGCAGGCACAGTCACGGGCTGAAGAGACCCGGACCGGCAGAAGCAACACCCAGGTACTGCCTGACAGGACCCGGCGTTGCTGGTACTCTGTCATGTCCGTCATCACTAGACACTTGCGAGTCAAAGACCAGGATAAGGAGTGTGGTCCGTGACGAGGCAGAGCTCGTAGCATCGCGACGAAGGAACCCTGTACCATCAGGGAGCTTATGCACAAGAGGCTAAGCACGTCCAAGGAGTCGAATTTCGGAGCAGACTCTACGGTCACTGGCCGAGAGACTACGATAGATGCAGCTAGCCATACCATTGGGAAAGACCAACATAGTCAAGGCAGGTTAAACTAGGTCCGAAGATTGGGGGAAACTCTAACAGCCAGAGCCGACGAGGAATGCCAGGACACGCAGTGACGTGCGTGCAGGACCCAGGCACGTTTGTTACACAGGAAATTTTTGACAGAGGCCGCTACGTCCAAAATCTTCGGTAGACATCGGATGAAGAGGCTGCAGAATACTCGGTGCTCGCGTTCCAATCCAGTGCTGCCAGGCAGCCGCCTGCTCTTTTCCGCGATTAGCTCTTCCATTTAGCGAAGGCGGACAAAGCATCGAGCTCTTGGGTGAGCTGGGAAAGAGCGAACGGGCGCTTGGATGGAGGGGTTGGGCACGAACCGCCAGCGGAAGGTGCGGGGCAGTGTTTCAATTCTTTGCGACGCCAGCGTGGTGGGATACAATCTACTCAGGACTGTGCGCCTCGTACTCGATCTCTCGGTGTTGAGTGAACGTGCCGTCGAATAGTGTCGACACGATCCGGCTCATCTTGATCATGTGGACTTCGACCCAAGGTCGTGATCGAGTAGTGCTGCAGAGATGTCGCCTTGGGCCCGGCCTGAACGACGTTTGATCCCACGCCGTCGATCGTAGACGCCAGCTAGCCGCGAAGGGCAGTCGGAGGATGGACCCAGTAGGTCACTGACTCAAGAAGGAATATTCCCACGCCCGTGACGGCAGAGACTCTGACAACACTCACCCGGCCGCACACAAGATTGCCGAACACGAACCAGGGCATGGCACCTTTGTCAGGCGTCGATCATGGTGATTTGCGACAGGCTCCAAATGTCTTGTTATTCAAGCACTTCATGCACGCCTTGGGCATTGAGTTTTGGGACGCGCGTCTAAATCCCAAGTCCCGCCTGCCATAAACCGAGGTCGATTGCAACGGTCCCACCCGCGGTCATACGTGTACGCATCAGGCTCCTGCTCTGTCACAGCTCGTCCAGAGAATTGTGAACATCCCGTCCGTGTGCGCACGGCTTCAGCGCGCGCTCGCTGTCCAACAAGATCGTGAATCAGCAGGATAACCAGCCTTGTCAAGATCTTGGTTGATCCTGGTAACCAATCTGGAGCCGACACATGTCAGGGCTGCCATCCTCGCTCGCTGTCTACCTCGTACCCTGACTTCCGAATCTCGCATTGGATCGTTTCACGTACATCCAGAGAGACTCCTGCCCGCCAAAGCGCGCTACAGGACCTCACCCTTCGGCGAAATGCAGCGATACGAAGGCAGATGCTGGTCGACTCGCCCGTGTGCTGGCACTCCGCCTGCAAGGACAGGTGCACATTATACCAATGGTTCCTCGCATTTCACCTCTCTGGCAGCAATGTTTTGGGTTGAGAGGGCATCGATCATCTCCCCCCATGCACGGCCTGTCCGTAGAGACACGCCGAACTTACGTACTTCTATCCCACCAGTTTTCCTTCTTTCTCGTCCTGCATGATAAGAGTTCGAAGTCGACCTTTCTGCTTCGGGTTGGTTGGGTACGCGCAGACTCTTGGGATCGCCGGCGATCAGGATGGGGGGCGACGAATGGTCTTTGGTTCTGACGATGCTTTGTCGACCCCGCATATCCGCCGTCTCCGCCCAAGATCTGGCTTCGGTGACGCTCGCTGCTCCTCGCTTACAACGTCGCCATGCTGGCACCGTTCCCCGAGATGCCGGTTTTCGGATAGGCCCAACATTTGGGGTTGCCCTCTACTCTCGTTCCTCGCGCATTAGTGCGGGTCTTGGAGGGATGGGGACCAGGCCGAACTCTAATCCCACGCAAACAGGGCGTAGATTGGAGTGAACAAGCCAGCTCCATGGTACCAGTGCCAGAGATCTCTGCTCTGAGAGGCTTAGTGCTGGGTCGCTGGCCCGCAAATCCGCATCTCAGCACGATTGTCTTTCATCTTCCCGTCTGTGAGCGGTGTGGTACCACGAATCAGGACATTTCCGGCCCGTCTCCACCGGACTGGCTGTTCATGCGTGACATCCGGATCCCTGACAACCCATCCGAAGAAACAGACTCTGTGCACACATGATTGCCTTTCCGACGTTCTGATCTGTATACTGCAAGAGGCAATCGCTGATGTGGAGTTCGCAAAAGGGCACCGATCGCAGCGAGTGACGCGACCGCGTCGCACCCTCCTCCAGCAATAAGAAATGCCATTCGTGTCTGAAACCCAGCATCCGACTTCGAGCGGCTGGTAGCACACAAGGCTGCCAGTAACAACCTCGAAGCTCTGGGAAGGTGCATGCCATCCGATAGCCGTCGAATCCCGAGATTGTTCCCCCTGTTGAAATTCCCGTCCACCGCTTCAAATCGCCTCGTTGAAATGTGATTGTTGGGACATCACCGCCACGCCTGCATGCCGTGAGCAAGGCACGTCAGGCGGTTTTTGTGACTTGCTGAAACTTGTTCACATTCAGGTCCTTCACGTCCACGCACTCGACATGCAGGCTTGGAAAACGCTTGTCTGGTGATCCCTTCCGCTCGGCCGTGCCGGTAAACTCACCGTGTTTGATGAAGGAGAGAGACCGGATGCCCATCTTGTCCAGGAACTGCAGAACCCGCCCATAGCTGTGGGCGACCTGATCGATGCCATGGCTGTCATCTGACAGGCAGAATCGGATGTTCCTTGCCAGGGCGGCTTGACATATCTCGCCCTTCGGATACGGCTCCTGCATGCCCTTTCTGACCGCGGATGAATTGATCTCCAGGACCCCACCGTAGCCGGAAATGAAATCCAAACTCCTCAGTATGCGCGACCAGACGCCGTGCATGCTCTCCAAGCACCCGTCCGGGTCGTCGCTCTTCAGCCGGATGAGGTCAAAGTGCCCCACCACGGGTGGTTTGACGGCCTTCAACATCTCGTACTGCGCGTCGAAATAATCCTCAAACAGCCTCTCGTCCGTGCCGCCGGCTTTGCTGCGTGCCTCGCGGTACATGTCGTGATCGTAGTCGATCGGCACGGTGTGGACGTGGTGGACACTGCCAATAAAGAAATCATACGGGTGCTTCTGGATGCTAGCCTCGATCAACTGCTGCGATTCCGGCCGGATCCATTCCCCCTCGAAGCCGATTGGGATTTGGATCTGGGATTCGTATTTGGCGCGCAGACGGTGTGCCTCTTTGACGTAAGAGTCCTCATTGGCCAGCTGCTGCTCGAGGGACGTGTCGCCTTCTTCCGGGTACCGATCCAGGTCGTGCCGCGGCATGTGTTCTGTCAGGGCAAAGACGGTCATCTGTTGAGAGATGGCGTGTTGAATGACCGACTCGAGCGAGTCGCGGGCGTGGCCCGGGCAGAATTGGCCCGAGTGGCTGTGGTGGGAGTGCGGCATGGTTGACACTGGCGTAGATCGAGAAGAGCCCGAGGACGGTAGGCTTGTTCCGTTTCTCAGACCTGAAAATTTGCTGTGAGGCGCGAAGCTGGACCTTTGCTGCTAGAGAATTCTATACCACCACATACTCCGGCGCGCGTCTATTACACCAGATCAAATGGACTCTACCTATTGCCGGATAGAATGGTGACACCAAAGTCGGCGGAGGCGAGGACGATGCCGAGAGTTTGTTATCTTCAGGGCCGAACTTTGTCCGGCATTGGCCCCAAATCCTGTCGCTGCTACCAAAAGCAGGCGGGAACTCGCCTGGACGTGACCTCTTCCTTGGTATCAGAGAGCGGGCCAGTTGCGGGTTGTCAAGTCGTCGCCGGAGGGTCCTCGTCTTGTTTCGCAGCATACGATTACAGTACTGACGACTTTCGAGTGCAGGACTGCGTCTGTATACGTTACCCCATTCTTGATGATAAGACCGCGTTGTGGATAATCGAGACACTTTACACGCCCTCCGGCCGGCGCTTCATGTGCTGTACATGTCCAACTACGCACCGTACACCCCTCGAAGCCTCTCTCTCAACAAGTCCAACCCGACGGCCTTCCTCCACCACTCATCCCACCAGCCCACGGGCCAGAATGTGCAGTTGTAGAACCACGTCCTCCACGCTCCGGTCCCGCGCCAAATTTCCAAGGGCAACGCACTTCCGCCTAGCCATCCTTTCTTCTCCCAACTTGTCATGATGTCTGCGACGACGTTCTTGGCCCAGACTTCGGGATGCTCTCTGTCCGGGAAGGCTCCCCTCATGGCCGCCTCGGTCATCTCCTTGACCTTCTCGTCGACCGCGTAGATACTCCCCTCGGGCAGACTCGCCTCGCCGTCCTGGTGATTCGCGTGGAACTTGGAATGCACACACCCGGTCTTCAGATCGATCACGTGGACGTTGAACGGCTGGAGTTCGATGCGCATGTGTGTGGAGAACATGGCCGCCGCGACCTTGCTGGCGTGGTAGGCCGAATTGTGCGGCGTCGGCTCAATCGACGAGATGGACGTGTTGTTGAGGATGAGGCTCGGCGAGGATGCCTTTCTGGCTGCGTGGAGAAGAAGAGGCAGGAACGCCTGTGTGACGGCGATGTAGGACCAAACGTTGAGATCGAACAGCGCCTTGGCCTCGGGCACGGAGATGTCGGCGACGGGCATGTTGTAACCTATTTGCGTCAGTATTCCGCTGCTGAACTCTTTTTCAACCTCCTCCCGCGGATGTTGAGGTGTCGACGACGATACGTTCAGGCACGCCAACGAACGGCCTTGGGCTCAGCAAAGGTCAAACCACCGTCCATAAGCGCGATCCAAAATAGGGGGAAGTAGGGGAGGAGAGCATAGTTGATTAAATTACTTGCCTCCTCCAGCGTTGTTGACAAGACAGTCAAGTCGTCCTTGTTCTTCTTCCCCATCTTCCCCGGTCAACCGTCTCACGTCGTCCACACACCTCTGGATACTGCCTTGGTCGAGCACGTCCAGCTGCAGACACTCGATCCCCCGTTCGCGTAGTCCGATCATCTTCTCCGGCGTCCGGGCCGTGGCGAAAACTCGCAACCCGGCATTGTGGAATGCGATCGCCAACGCGTGCCCCAGACCGTGGACCGAACAGCCTGTGATCAAGACAGTACGGCGGCAAGTTGTTGGTATCCGGCGGCTCGACATTCTAACCGGTTTAACCCCGTCGTGCTATGTGCTCCAAAGTGGACGGTGACTGGTGTTTTTTTGATGCCGAGTGTTGAACCTTTCCCCCGTAGCCGGGTTGGCTGCCAAAAAATTACACCGTTCGTCGGACTGCAATTCGGATCCCCACAAGCTGTTCAGGCCAGTACTTTACAGCATGATCGAGCTTGGGAGAGACAAATTGCAACCGAAGCTGGTACTGCAAGGCAGGCCTCCCAAAGAGGAAGGTAGATTTCGGGTCAACTCTTCTCCGAGACGAGGGTGCGCGGACAGACAAACTTGCCCACAGCACGGTCATTGACGACGGCGATGATCTGGGAGAAAGACCAGTGGCAAAGTAAAATCTGGAGTAAAGTACGTTATCTTCAGTGGAGAGTCGCTACCAACAGTCGCTATCAAGACATAAACTCATCACAAATACCGGACCGTCGACTGCTGCCAGGACGTAATATGCAGGCCCGTCGCCGCCACACCGTGAGACACGCCAGTCCTGTGAAACATACTGTAGGACTGCAAACCCCGACATCAATGCTTCTTGGATCGTGCCGATATCCTGCGGGCCGTACAAGTTGCGTGTAATGCCCAACCACCACCACCTTCGCCCTCACTTCATCTCGAGCTCTCAGTGCTAAAGATACCTGGTCGTTGACCCGTCATGACAATCCTCTTTCTCGGGCCCGGGGCTTCTGCATCCTCGACTCCCTTCTGCTGCTGTGAGTGGGCACCCAGTCCTTCTGCAACAAACCCGATAGTATAGGCACCCACTCCAAGAGCTGCGATGGTCAGAATAGTTCGCCTCATGCTACGTGCAAGCCGCCTCCACAAGCTCTCCGTCGGTGCGGGGGAAGTGTCATTGTCAGGTTGAGACGTATTAGGCTTTTCGTCCGATGTCGCACCCGGACGAATTGTGCCAGAGAACACCTTCTCCTGCCTTCTCACCCTCGGCTTGCTTTGCAACGGACGAGCCACAGGCGCTGTCGGTGCTGCTGGACCTGGAGATGGGTCTAAATCAGAAGGCATCTCATCAAGGACCGTGGCAGCCTTGTGGAGGGATTGAGTGGGAGGTACTTCCGGGGATACTGCTGGCGGTGCTTGACCTGACACCGATTGCACGTCTCCGATTGTATCGGGCACAGTTGAAGTTGTAGCCGGTTCTGGCTGCTCCTTTCGGAAGACCAGTGTGTTTTCCTTTCCATCATACAACGAGTATCCCACTCTTTGCATGGCTTCGAAGTGCTTGAGAAACTCGGGCGCATTCTCCAGTCTCCCTAGGATCTGAACCATATTACTGGGCTTGGTGGTGTCCGTAGCTGGCTGATTCAGTGTTGAGAAATTGACCTTACCGGTCGAAGAATTGTATGTAAGAACAAGATACGGTGAATCGAATTGGATGTCTCGGAGGCTTTCAATCGGCGGGATCTGCTCGTCGTTCCACGTCGACGATCCTGATGGGGTGTGGACCGGCTCAGGTACGATCTTCTGACCCTTCTCTTCCGGGATCTGCGACGGCGTGTGGATGCCCGGCACGACCTCCGTATCTTTCACATTAGCCGCGTCTGATGTGTCGGTTTCAGGAGCCTTTTGGGCTTGAACGTCAATCCTCTTTTTGCCAAAGTCCGATCCCGACAGCTGGGGGGTCTTCCACGCAATGTCCGGTCTTCTTGTTTCGATGGATCTTATGGCGTTCTTGGTCTCGTGTAGAACTCTTCTCACCTCTTTTGTTGCTTGGATAACTTCGCTCAATTTCGGAAGAGGCGGCTTGACCTCGTTCATAGGATCATTTGCTCCTGCGGTTGCCGATGGTACTGGCTTCCCAAGCTCTTGGATCTCGATGCTGATTTCACGAAGCTGAGCACGGATCTGTTTGGCGCCGTCCACAAGCTCGGCAAGCTTGGGCTCGAATTTATTGATATGCTCATCAATGACTGGATTCGTTCCGACGCCGGGCTTTACGCTCGCAGTCGAAAGCGGATGGGCCTTGGATCCATCAAGTTGGCTCGATATGGGGGTAGACGATGCATCTACCACTTTGCTGGGTTCCAACGCCGGGCACGATGCGGGCTGCCTGTGATTGGGGTCTATCGTGCCATACTCGCTCTCATAAGCAGCCTTTATCTCCGTCGCCAGCAGCGAGATCTGAGCATTCTGGACTTCTGCGTCGCTTTTTGCCTTTTGAGCCGCCTTCCGCAAACTAGCTGTGCGCTCCCGTTGCTCTCTATCGGCCTCGAGCGCGTCATGCGAGGGAGTGAACGGCTGCACGTCGATGCTTTTCGCATCTCGCTTGTAGATGGACGGGGTCTTGCTCAAGGACTCGTCTCTGAAGATGAGCTTTTCGGTCAAACCTTTCACTGCATCAGGACGAATATACTTCTTGTAGTTCTCGTTGAAATTGGTCATGGATTTCATCGTTTTGGCGACGATGCCGTTGGGGTGCTCCTGTATATGTTGAAGAACATTGTTGATAGTCTTGGTCAATTTCGTCGTCGAGATTTGAGTCTTCGAGGTTTCATTTACAGGGTTCGTCTCGTCGGCTGTTTTGTTATGTCCCGCGTCGGACTCTGCCTCGAGGCTTGATGATTTGATCTTCTTTGGCTCACCGGTCTCCGGCATGGCCGTCGCTCCGTCTACAGCGGTACTTTCCTCCGTCGAAGGCAATTGCCGTCTGAAAGCGGACGATTGACGATCGAGAGCAGTTTGCAATCTGGCCGACATGTCGTCGGCTCGAACCGTTCGCTCTTCGGCTCGGTCGAGCGCCGTCTGAAGCCTAGGATTTGATTCCTTGGAGGAACCAACGACTGCAGGGTCTCCTGTCGATCCCGAGTTCAGAGGGTCATTAGCCGGCTGCCTGAAACCTTCCTTGGCTAGCCAATCTGAAGGAGTAGCCCACGCTTCTTTGATGGCTCTGGCTTCATAAGTCGTGCCCGAGAAGAGTGGAAGCGTGTCGTCAGGCTCGGGTGACTCCCGGGGTTTCTTTGGTGCTCTAGTCCCGTCAGTAGAGGGCCCAGCCAGGGGCTCAGGCTCATTTCGCGAGCCGACATCAGTAAACAAGGCAGTCGTGTCGATGGTGTTCCCTTTGGCCCGCGCCATCAAGTCTCGCAATTGTTGCTTCCTAGAACTACCAAACTCTCTTTGCGTTTGGCTTGACTCTGTTTCCGCAGGGATTTCAGTGATATTGCTATCCGCACTACCATAGCCGTACACTTTATGGGGTTTGAAGGTCTTAACGGGTATATCAACTCCATGCTCTTGAAAGAACATGCTCTGGAGAAATGGCAGCTTTGGCCCGCTCTCTGACGATTGCTCTGTTGGCTCAGGCGGTGATGACCTCGATTTTGCTTCTGAAGTTGCTGGGTCTTTCGCCGGCTCCGGCGGTGGGATTTGCGTCTTTGGCTTGGGAGAAAGAGCCTGCTTCTCTCGCTCTGGTGACGAGTTTTGCACGTTCAGCTCAGTCTCCGACGTGTGCTTCCTCGTTGGTACCTTTCTCATAGTGATTGGGTCGTATTCATATTCCTCCTCACTATAAGTCACGGTGGTCTCTTTCGGAATCTGATGTGCGGGATTCGTGGAGGTAGCTGCGATTGGCTTTTCGGGCGACGTGTCTGTGGTCTCGGCTGGCTTGGACTGCTTGGGCGACACATCTGCATCATCTTTGATCTCTTTGGGGTCCGTGAACCAAGAGAACGACGTCCACGATGAGTTATTCGACGATGGGGGACTCTGCAGGCGTCTTCCAAACAGGGTCCCATAAGGATCCCGCGCGACTGCACGGTCAACAGCTGCTCGAAAAGACTCAAAGTCGTTGTATACTGTCTTGAAGTGACTCTCAGGATTTTGTTCATTGGCAGTCTCTTTCGTGTCTCGGTTCGAGGCACTTGTTGATGTAACTGGCTTGTAGTCGCAATACCGGGTTGCCCAAAGCCCGTTGAAACGCCACGGCCGCATGGAGCTTTCTTCCGACTCCCACATGGCTCTTCTTCGAGCAAGCTTATAGTATCTCGACCTCATCATCTTCTGATGCCTCCTCGTGCGTTCTTCGACGTCTTCGGTTGGATTGCTCATCTGACGTCCCCACCACCAGATTGTCCGCGCCTGGACTGAAATGACACGACGACTTCGGTGGATCTGAGTTCTCAAACAGAGAGGCCTTGTCATTGTGCCCGCCGGCACTGTTCGTGCGAATGGTACAGGCATCCTGGTGGAGCGTTTTGACAATCGACAGTGAGGTATGCAACCTGTGGCAGAGAGAAACGAGATCAGCACGGACTTGCAAGGCGGTCAACTAGCGAGGACCGGAAGCGTCGAGGACAAGGCCAGTCCTCAGGCTGGGTGAATGACCCCTCAGGCGGACATCTGCATTGCAGGTCGTACGCTGAGCGTCCAAAGAATGATTTTACCCAATGCTAGAGCTTGCAAGGAGGCAGATCAGAGGCACAAGACGACATTCAACGATGACCAATTGAATGCGCTGCGTACAGGCTGGTGAAGTGGGAGAGCGAGTGCGATGGAGTGCGATGGAGGGGCAGCATCTGCAGGCAACCGGCGATAACGATACCCACAGTGCGACACAATGCGGAGAAATCGCGTCCCAACGCGTAATCCACCGAGTCCTCCGTACGAGGTACTCCGTACCACTTCAACTTTGGGCTCATCACGTGCATATGTCAAGTTGCTCGAAATCAGAACAATTCTGTAGGTCAATTCGTGCCATCCTACCCGATACCAATCCAGCGTAACAGCATATCATACAGTTGCCTTCAGTCCTCGGCTCTCTTCTTCGTGAGCGTATCTACCACCCTGCCATAGAATTTGGACGCGTTAAGTCTTGCAAAGGTGATTTCTTCTGTCAGATAACCAGGCATCAGCTTGATCATCTCGTGGTCCCTGTCAGGGTCCAGAAGTGGAGTGTACAGGTACTCCGTGTCCTCGAAGGTCATGGTTTTCGCAATCTCTTGGTCGACGAACAAGCGGAAATGCAGTGCTATGAAACGGTTATTCTCCAGTTCGAAATCGGACAGAAGGCTGTACTTACTCCCGTTCTGACCGGTTTGGATACACTCGTAGCTGTGTCCCTCCTCTGTCTTCTTCAGGTTGAGGACCACGAGTCCTGTCAGGTCACTATACAGATCCAACTTCATCTGTGCAATTTCGACAGTTTTGGCAGCGTCGGCATTGCTGGCGACCACCGAGCGATGGGCAGAGCTCTTCATCGCGCTTCCCGGAGTCTTAGGGTGGTCAACAGAGGAGGCCCGTGCTGCTGCCAATTTCGCCTGTAGGGCTTTGATCTCGTTTTGCGCAGCCGCGAGCGAGGTCGTGAGATCCGCCGTCGTCTCACGCATTTTGCCCATTTCCTCCTCCTGGCTCTGCATCTGCTGCTTGAGTCTGCGCGTCTCATGAGCCAGAGGAGCTTGTGTCGCCAGCTCTTTCTTGAGAGACGCAATCAGGTCGTTTGAGGCTTGCATCGTGGCGTCGCATTGCTTGCGCAATCTCTCCATGTTCGCGCTGGCCTCGTTGACGCCCACCTCTTTCAGATTGCGGTATTTCAGGTCGACGTTTTCATACTTGCGTGTGATATCTCCCAGCTTGCGTCGCAGGTTGGGGTCTCCTCGTTCGGCATCTGATGCGCTTCCGGCGCGTCGTCGAAAATGTGCATCTTCTCTTGTTCTGGAGGGATTGCGGATAACTGGTCTGGGTTTCGGTGGTGACGCGGTGTCTACCAGCGCGCTGGTTTCCTCCTCCTCCAGCTGCGGTTCTGATACGACGGTACGTAGTCTTTGATGAGCCCTTGACTCGGCCGACATGACTGCTTTGTTGGCAACTTTCGAGGCCTGCTTGCTTGTCTTGGTCGCCGCATGCTTTGAACGGATCTGGACGGGAGCTTCGTCCACGTCGACAAGATCGTCTTCTTGCTCTTGCGTCTCGAGTGCCTTTATGTTGCTCTTTGCTTTGCCGGCCGGCCGGTGGCGCTTCTTCGTCTTCGGAGCGAGAGCTTCGGTCTGGGCGCCAGCATTTTCCAACGTCCCATCAAGGTTCTCGTGAGATTCTGGGTCGATTTGGTCTTCCGAGGCTTTGCGCTTGACTCCTGCAGTCTGCTTTGGAGGAGCCTTCTTTGTTTCTGAAGGCGCGGATCTCTGTGGCTTCGACTTGGACTTAGGAGGCATGGTGACGCGCTGTCTTTTCTTTCCCCTCTTCGCCTGTGTCGCTTTCGTTGAAGTGGCATTGGTCGCGTCCGAAGCAGAAGAGAGAATTGAATTTTCGTCGACGAAAGGCGCTGAGTCCTCCATGTCGGAGTCTAGGAGGTCTGCAATCCCTTTCATTGTGATGCGCAAGTAGTGAATGCTGGTGGTATTGGAGTCCAACGCCGTGTGAGGAACCGAAAGAGGAAAGCAATATGTCAACAAACGAGAGGGCGTCGCGGCCATCTGGTTGGTGGTTGGTTGGCCTCGGTGTTAAGAACCTCACCAGCCACAAGTCACGAGTCAGACCCGGTGGCGACCGCTGTCAAGCCTCGTTTCTCACCAACCCTCCTCGACCGTTTGTAACAGTTCACTTCCCGCGTTCAATGCATTGTATCCGGCCGCTCATAGTCTAGAAAATCGGCATGATGGCTCCAGATCGGGGCGACGGAGCATGGTGGCACCGGGCGCTGCAAGAGCTGGCCATCACTGTTCCTTTGGTTCGTACACTGCACACTTCGCATTCGTTCGGAGTTTAACAATCCACAGATGTTTGGAGGATACTACATCATCAAATATGTTTTGGCGCAGATGAATCTCGATCCCGAAGCAGAGCAGAAAGAACAGAACCGATTACAATCCGCCGCGATATTGCGCCGACTCGACGACCCTAAGAGCAACCAACCGTCAACATCATCAGATCCCAGACGGCCACGAAAAGAAGATTTGCGCCTGACCCAATATGAAGAAATCATCTTGCAAGAGCTTGTGTTTCCAGAAGATATACCTGTGTCATTTGAGGACATCGGAGGCTTGTCGGACATTATAGAGGATTTGAGGGAGTCAGTGATATATCCTTTGACTTTACCGGAACTCTACGCCAACTCCTCCTCGCTACTGGCGGCACCTTCGGGGGTGTTGCTATATGGCCCCCCCGGATGTGGGAAGACGATGCTAGCCAAGGCGCTCGCCCACGAGAGCGGTGCCTGTTTCATCAATCTGCACATTTCGACGGTCACGAACAAATGGTTCGGAGACTCCAACAAGCTGGTCAACGCCGTCTTCTCGCTCGCCCGCAAGCTGGAGCCTGTCATTGTCTTCATTGACGAGATCGACGCAGTCCTGGGTACTAGACATAGTGGCGAGCATGAGGCGAGTGGAATGGTCAAAGCCGAATTCATGACACATTGGGATGGTCTGGCTTCAGCCAGCACTTCAGGCCGGCCCCAACGGATCCTGATCCTGGGTGCCACCAATCGGATCAACGACATTGACGATGCGATCCTCCGACGCATGCCCAAAAAATTCCCCATCTCGTTGCCGAATGCTTCGCAACGGCTCAAGATCCTCAAGATCATCCTCCGGGACACCAAACTCGACAAGGACGGTCTCGACCTGGAATATCTGTCAAGGGTGATGGCAGGAATGTCTGGAAGCGATATCAAAGAAGCCTGTCGAGAGGCCGCAATGACACCTGTTCGAGAAATGATACAACGACAGAGGCAGAGTGGACAGCGCATAGAGGACATGAGAGCAGGGGAGGTACGAGGTCTCCGCACTGCAGATTTCTTCCTGCGAGCTCGTAATCCGAAACCGGCCGTGGCCGAGAAGGGTGGGAAGGATGAGAAAGAATGGAGCACAGAGTCGTCGTCTCCCATAGCAGAAGATTTGCAGGAAGCCGTTGAGGAGATCGAACGACCAGACTGAGACGGGCAGCGTGCTGTTGCGGACATCAAAGGGGCTTTCACTTGGCATTACCAGGACTATCACGGGCGTTCCAGGCACTTTATGCCCAACGGAACTCGTAGACACTTCAGTAGGATTGTATGCTTCGCCGATTTTATGCAAACAGCCACTTGATCACACACACAGTAGTGCACGCTTCTGGGCGAGGAATACGAGGATAGCACAAGGGTCTTCGAAAATTGCTCGGAGGCTTTTCCCAGGTAGATCGGTGCTACCTCGAATCCGAGGTGCAAGCCGAATGCCTGCTACTCCATACCCCACACTTACCTTGGTATGGTATGTAGGCGGTATCACGGTCACCTGTTACTGGAGGGGCGGTACTGGGCGGTCACTGGGCAGTCACTGGCGACCTGCAGGGCCAGCCTAAACTCTGGTCCCGCCGAGTTCTTGCAACGCCTGGCACGCATGAATCAAGTGCGTCTTCACCACGATCCCGTCCATTTGTGTTTGACTTTGCTGTTGACCTTCGTTGTCGATGATTCCTTTTTACCCGAGAATTCCTGCCTGCGCTGTACTATTTTGGTCCTCTCCTACGTCTACCGCCTGCTGGTCTCTGTGTCTTTCGCACGGGATTCCGTGCAGTCGCAGCCATGAGTGATCCGAGCCCACAGTCCGAATCGCAGGCAACTTCAGCGCCAGCTCCGTCGCAAGCGGACAGCGAGCAGCCAGGCACGAACAAGGCACCTCCAAACCAAACCCCCGGTCACCCAAGCTTCAGAAGGTACGCTGCGATTACCAGACCCTTTCGCGACTCCGTGTTGCTAACGCAGTGGCCAGGCAGCGCGCATCTCGAGCGTGTGGTAAGCTCACCTCCGCCTCCGACCGTCTTGTTTGCAGAGTCGCGCATTACACGAATGGTTGAATGAGCAGCGGCAGGAGTCAAGATGGCTGCGTTCGTTGCGGACAAGAGAATGTCAGGAATGCTTACGCGGACATGGTCACCTTTATTGATTTTATCTGTTTGGAGCTCGCCGCAGACCGAGATCCTCGGTCCAAAAGTGGTGCCTTTGGTCATCCATCAACGCCAGGGCTGACCGCAAACATCGTCCGCGCCCAATGAGCATGGGGAATCAGCCCTCGAAGTGTTTGATGTCTATGGGCAGAAACAATGCTAACGTGCCGTCTTTACAGAAACGTGTCACGCTCGCAAAGTATGTGGCTCGACTGGTGTCCAGGTCGGGATCGGGTCGAGTGTTCCCATATCTAACACGTGTGCTGTATAGGTCCGATGCGATGCTGCGTCTCTTGGGTTAGTATCGTCCTGTCACGTCACCACTGTCTCTGATCTTGACCATTGTTAGGGTGCCATGCACAAACTGTGTGGCATTTTCCATCGAATGTCGAATTCCAGTTCCCAAGCGGAAAAGAGCCAGTGCTGCCCGAGCCAAAGATGAAGAGAGGTAAGTCAGCAGCTTGTCAGACGTCTGATTCGGTGCAATAAAGCATCCTATCATCCGTTAGCTCCCCAAGGAGACCGTCTGATGGGCTTTCCAGCGAGACCGGCGATTCCCAGCAAACGGGCACGCCTACGGACCCTCGTCTGGCGAGGCCAACGCAACCCAAGCCTACCGTCGGCTACAATTCTCCAGATGGCATTCCCTCGACCCAGATGTCAGAGGCTCAAGCGGCTCAACAAGCGGCCAACAACAGTACCATGGCGCAGTTCATGAAGCCCAAGTTTGCTCGGGCGCCGATCAAAGAAGCCGGGCGAGTAGCCTATCTCGGAGAGTCCTCCAATTTGTCGTTGCTGGTCCATGATCGACATGGCACGACAGACGTTGTGCACTATCCATTACCAGAAAACATTAGGGGTGCTCGCGCCCGTCTGACGGAGCCAGACCAAATGGAGATTGACATTCTCCAGCAGAGGGGCGCATTTTTGTTACCTCCTCGGGCGTTGTGTGACGAGCTTGTTGATGCCTACTTTCGATGGGTCGCTCCTATAGTGCCAGTCATCAATCGAAGCCGGTTTATGAAGAGGTACAGGGACACGAAGAATCCTCCGTCGTTGTTGCTGCTCCAGGCCATCCTGCTGGCGGGCTCCCGGGTCTGCACCAACCCGCAGCTGATGGATGCGACCGGCTCTACCACGCCGGCAGCAATGACTTTCTACAAACGTGCCAAGGCTCTGTACGATGCGAACTATGAGGATGATCGCATCACCATTGTTCAGGCTTTGATACTGATGGGCTGGTACTGGGAGGGCCCCGAAGGTAAGGGCCAGGCGTCCACCGAATTCGCCGACTATGCTCGGTCTAACATAGCAGCAGATGTGACCAAGAATGTGTTCTACTGGACTCGGGTGGCCATTGTAGTTGCCCAGGGCGCCGGTATTCATCGAAGGTATTCATGACGGGACGTTCTCAACGAAGCTTGCTGACAACCGGTGACAGCGTGGAAAGTTCGCAGCTGAGCAGACAGGACAAGCGTCTGTGGAAGCGAGTGTGGTGGTCTCTTTTCACCAGAGACCGCTCGGTAGCAGTTGCTCTGGGTCGACCGGTCTCGATCAACACGGACGACTCAGACGTCGAGATGATCACCGAGGAGGATTTCATCGAAGACGAGGGCGATCCGAACAACGAGTATGAAGCTGACCCGGTTCACATCCAGTTCTTCTTGCAGTATGTCAAGCTATGTGAGATCATGGGTCTTGTGCTCTCTCAACAATACTCGGTTGCCTCGAAGGCTCGGCGCACAAACGCCATCGATCTGACTCATAGTGACATGGCTCTGGCCGACTGGCTGCAGAATTGTCCCCGGGAGGTGTATTGGGAACGGTCACGGCATCATTTCTGGTCGGCACTGTTACACTCGAACTACTAGTGAGCTCGTTGCTGGATACCTCTGACCCTGGGCTAACGTAACCCCAGCACCACACTTTGCCTGCTGCATCGAGCACATATGCCACCAGCGACAGCCAAACCACACGATTACGAAAACGTCGACATGGCTTATCCCTCGAGAACAATTGCCTTCCAAGCCGCCGGCATGATCACGTCAATCATGGAAAACCTCCTGGCTCATGATCAGGTCAAGTACACGCCTGCCTTCATGTAAGTACCCGCTCCTCCGGCTTAAAATGGAGATACTCATGCTCTTCACAGAGTGTACAGCCTGTTCTCGGCGCTCATCATGCACGTCTACCAGATGCGCTCATCTGTACCGTCCGTCGTTGCTGCCAGCCAGGAACGCATCAACGTGTGTATGAACGCGTTGAAAGAAGTGTCTAAAGTGTGGCTTGTTGCGAAAATGGTGCACACCTTATTTGAATCCATTCTCGGCAATAAAGTGCTTGAGGAAAGACTGCAGAAGGCAACGGGCAAAAAGGCACAACGATCCAAGAACAACCCACGGGGCCCAGAGCAGAGCCATGCCAACGGCAACGCGAACGGCCTGGCAAACACCGCATCTGCAACAACGCCCGTACCCGCGCCCCCCACCAATCCAGCCAAGCGTAAATACGATGACATCGACCTCGTATTCAACGTAGGGCCGCCAGCTCCTCAGATGTCGTACGAACGGTCACGACCGCAAACACCCGCAGTCACACCATCACGCGAACTGCCTCAGCAGCAACAGCACGGTAATTACCTGGGTTCACCTCCATTGCAGAACGAACAGTATCTACCGCCGTCTAGATCTCGAGGAGCCTCTCGTCTGCCATCTCGAGGTCCTACAAGAGCGAACTCTCCTTTCAATGGATACTCTATCCCCGCCACGCCTCCAGACCTTTTCCTCGTCACACGAGACTCGCCCAACATTTCTCAGCAGCTATGGGAGAACTTCCAGCCTGACCAGCTCTTCCCTGACGGCACAATCGGGGACGTGGCGGGCTTCGGCAATAGTCCCGTCATGAATCATGCCGTCGATCCGCAATTGCAACAAATACAAGGCCAACAAACTGGGATGACGACGGGAGGCCAGCAAATTCCGCAAATAGACATCTCGGGTTCGGGACAGCAGCACCCTCAGGTATGGCCGCCAGGGATGTCAGGCATGATGGGTGCGGGAATGGAAATGCACGATAGTGACGGTTGGTCGACCAGTAGTATTGGGAATGCTCCCGTTGCGCCGACAACTCTGAATGTGGAAGACTGGTTCCAATTCTTCGGCATCAACGGCGAGATGGCCGGGATGGGTATGGATGGTGCTGGGCCTTGAGCCTTCTCATCTCACGGTGCTGAGGGCTGGCAAGGCGATGGCTTCTTCCGTCTGTCCCCAATACGTGAATAATTTGCCAGTATCTAGCATATGAGCACCAAGAATGGCATCTACTCCATCTGCACTGTTACATTGCTGAGACATGACGTCCGCGTGGACGAGTGGCATCGAGACCTTATTGTACGCCTGCGTGGCATTTCTTGCCATGGGTACGAAACACGTCAGCCGATGGAAGAATAACGCGCCCCTCTTCACCTGATGTTCAGTTGCTGCACCGCCCATGCGAATGGCCGTCAGCTCCATCTCGCCCTATTGGGTTCGTGTCCGTGATTGGTTCGCTTCGAATATGCCCCATCGGGTTTAGTCTGCGACGTCCCCAGACATCTGCTCCTTGTCTTGCTCTGGCGTTCGGTTGGCCACCCAATTTTTTGCCCAAAGTCTTTCAGGCTATTTCCTATTTTTGAGGGCCCATGTTTTAGCATTCGTATGAGGCTGACTGAGGGGTTTTCACTCAGGTGCTCGCGACCGGTACGCGACAGATACTCCATCCAACGTGGACATGGCGATGAAAGGCAAAAGGTAAGTTGACGTGTTGCTATGGATAGAAGTCACTATGTCGAAAACGTTCGCGTGGGGTGCGTACACAGATGAGAACACATGAAACGAAAAGGTAAGGGATGATTGATATAAAGAACCTCGACAGTCGTGCATGGGGGGGCACATGTCTGCACCATATCGTATCCATACAGCATCATCTGAGTCCATCACGTACCATCTCATACAGAGCAACCAAGGACAAGCGAATTCATCGACCCGGGCTCCCAACGTCAAGCGAGACCGATAATCAATTCAACGTCAAGCGAGACCGATTAATCCTTTCGAACTCGACGCTGCTCCTGACTCATAGAGATCATATTCTCGTTCAGCTGCCGCACCAGACAGGCAGGGATATATACCGACCGGACAAGGGCTACTTGCACCCCAGACTTCATCTATCAAAAGACACGCACGCACGCACCGCACCCTTTCGTTGAACCATTCGTTTCAAACAACACCGCCCTCCCTACCCAACGACAGATAGCGAACAAAGTCGAGCCTCCACACCCAAGATGCCCGCCTCCATCCGACCAACAAGCCTGTCTTATTCGCTCGCGGACTCGAGAAACAGCTCGACATTCAAGCCCGGATCCAGATCTTCCTCTTCCTCGCCTCCCTCCGAAGCCGCAACCGTGACCGCGACCGCGACCGCGACCGAAACGACGCCCAAAGCAAAGAAACACGGCTGGTGGTTCCGCGCCCGCTCCGCCAACGTAATGCGCTCGACCGACTCTGGATCGCGACGCATCATGAGCGCACCTGCACCCACACCCGCACGCGCATCCGCCCCTCGGCTACCGCCCACCCCGCTGGATGAAGGCATGTTCCCGCGCATCCTCGTCAAAGCCAAGACTAATTAAATTAGCCTTAGCTCTCGTTGCAAACGACGGCGAAGGACGGGGCCCCACCTGGGAGCTGGCCTCGTCCTCCCGTCCAGCGAGCGTCCGTTCCCTGTCGACCACGTCGGACACGTCCACGACCACGACGTCAACGCGGTGTGTTCGCTCCGAGGGTCACAGCAGCGTGGAAGGACTGGCTGCTACTGCTAGGTGGGATGCCGCGTTGGGGACGAGAGTCGTGCCGAGCGGAGCGGCGGGGTTCAAATGACGCGACGGTCAGGGCAGAGGATGAGGCCAAAGCCGAGGCGATGCAGAAGACACGCCCAAGGGATCTGGTTCACTTGATGGTCCTGGGAGGGGGGTTCCTGGGCATGTAGCTATAGCTACTGCTGCGTTGGACACCGTGGATTATGGGGAGTTTGACATTGCACATTGTATATTGGGCTATTGTCCTACGTACGCAATGGTACGGAACCCGATGGGAGTACCTTTTTGGCATACAAGTGTTAGTTGGAATGGATCACAGTACTACAGGTAATACCGGGGGGTTTGATGGGTGATTGTATCGACATTTTTGGCGGGCACTGGTCCTCAGTTGCTACAAGTACAAATTGCGATAGGAAGAGTTATGGTGGCTTTGAAGGCGCGTAGGTACAGTGCGAGTACGAGACAAATTGCGGTAGCAGGGTTGTTGTGGCTTTGAAGGCATGTAGGTCCAGTGCGAGTACGAGTAATTACTGTGCTACAGCAGGTACCTAGGTACTCCGTACACATACATCCTTTCCGGGGGGAGAAATCGTTTGATTGAGCCAGCCACCTTGTCGGTCGTGCTCCGTATTTCGCTCTGGTTCGCTGCATGTGCAAAGCATAGCACATCACATACAGGATCATCCATTTAATTCCATGCCGCTAAAAACTCCAGTGCGTTGCTGGTGTATGGTAATTGACCACGTGGATCTAGAAGGGGGCTGCCACGCCCTAGGTCTTCCACCCCTTTTCATCGGTATCGTCATAACTTGGCGCGCTGTAAATGGTCCCGGGTACGTAGTGTCAAGACTGTTTGTCCTTCCCCGACGCCGAACTTGCATATGCATTCCTCACCCTCCCTCTGATGGGGAAGCGCTCATTCAGCAGCGCTTCTTCGGTTGCAAAATCCGACGTCCTCGCCGTGGCCGCTGTAGGCGTGATATCCTTGTCCCTGCCCGTATCCCGGCCGCTACTAGGATCCCTGCTACGATCCGTAGGGACGGTCTCTGAATTTGTTTCCAATTCGATGAGGTCGCCCAGCTTGTCCACGGCAGCACTCCTATCCCGCTTCCCAGGGGCGCCGGCCATCGTCCTCACCCATCCTTGAATGGCACCGCTCACTTCTCCCGCCAGTCCTGAACTGCTCGAGTTCGAACGCACACTCCGCACGGAATCCATGCTCGCCCTTGGTGTAGCTCTCGAGGTCGGTGTTCGACTGAGGCCTGAACGAGGTATGTTTTCGGGCGGAGGCAGAAAGTCCGGAAAGTACTGATTGAACTTGCGGTTAAGGGGGTCGTCAGCTGGTCCAGGGCGAGACATCTGCGTTCTCAAACCACGCAGATCACCTACGCCGCCAGGTCCACGAAGCACCTCAGCGAAGACATTCCCGTTTCCTGAAGTGCTAGAGGAGCGCTGTCGGCCCGACGAGCCAAGGCGAGAGGCTGGAAACACGGGCCGTCGGACGGGCGACGCGTTCAAAGATATGGATTGTTGCGCAGCGTGCGTGGGCGGATGTCGAAGCATGTCGAAGGACGTCTTCGGCGTGGAGGCTGTCGATGAGGTAGTGAGGGTAGCATTTGATTTCTGCCGAGGTCGAGGGAAGTAGCCCAGTGCGCGGCGAGGCACGCGCAAGACCTCAACGGCTTCTTTGAAGTTGGGTAGCATTACCCAGGAGTCGTGCTTGAGTTCGGTGGCGTCGGACATGGAGGTGATGATGGACAAGGGCTCAGAAGTGAGAGTAGAAGACGCCATACTCGAGCTCGGGCGAGAAGGGCTATGGACGCCGTTGGGGGATGAAGCACCGTTTGGTTTCGGTTGATCTTGCATAGAGAGGTGTTCGAGACTCGAGTCGAAAAGATCTCTCGAAAGATACGGGCTGTCGACTTTGCGTCCCTTGACCGTAGAACCTTCTAAAGGGACCAGGACACGTGTTCTCGTCTGTATATTGTCGTTGGGCCAGAACCTGTTGACTTTTCGGAACAGGTCAGGAGGGCAGTTGTACTTGATGATGACACCGGCGAGCGTGTCCCCTTCCTCGACTTTGTGCATATAAACCAAAGCGTCATCACTCGTGTCCGTCTGTCCGCCTATAGCCGTGTCTGCGTCCGAATCACGCCTCTTAAACCTGCCCAGACTGTCACGGTTTTCTGTAGCACCCGCCATGAGAAGGGCTTCTCTTTTCTTTGCCTGGACCATGGCTTTCCGCTCTTCGATAGCGTCCCGGGCGGCACTCGCGGACGTGTTCATAGACGGGCCCCATTGGGGAGTGGACATCTTCGAAGTGTAGTTCTTGTCCTGTTTCATCCACAAGGGGGTCTTGAACGTGCCCACGTTCTTGTCCTTGGGAGGACTGGAGGTTGTGTTCCCGAGAAATGTGGATGCGAACCCCTGAAGGGAGCCCCATGGTTCCCATATACTTTGTTTATCTGCAGCAGGCGCCTGTGAACTCGACGAGGACCTCGTCTGGGGTTTGTTGGTTCGGCCAACTCTGGATTTGTCCGTGGACTTCGACCTGTTCAGCGCAGATTCATTCGGAGACACGCCTCGACTCGGGAAACGTGGGGGAGTAGAGGAGGTCGAAGTAGTGACGGCGGTCGACTCGGTATTCTCATCGTCAATGTATGATATGAGGCGACCAGTGCGAGGCCGGAGAGTCGAGGTACTGCTGTTGGTAGAGGAGTAGAGGCTTGATTGGGAGATGTTGCTCATGGCTTCCCAGGCTGCCGATACAAGACATCGAGGGTCGACGACATCGGGGAGCCAGAGTGCTTAGGTTGTTATCGCAGGAGTGCACGGAACCGCGTCGTTGACCTTCGCCGACGCCAGTAATCGCGTTTTGGTCCCAGGATGACGAGCACAGCTGTCGTGGGGACGACGCGAACGCGAGAAGGCTGCCGGTCTTCGCAAGCCAGATAGGGGACCCGAAACCAGAGTAGGGACAAGGAAAGCAACTGTGGTCTAGCAGCGAGGATTGAAGCACGTTGGACACCTGGAGGGGCTCTGCTGAACGCTTCGGAGTCCTACTTTGTGGGTGACAGCCGCCGACGTCGACCCTGCGCTAGCCGGAGTTCGTGGCGAGTACTGCGCTCTCTGCGATACATACAAGTACCCAGGAAATAACCAAATACATGCCCGTTTGGGGGCGACGAAGAAGGCCCTGGCACGTGCTGCTCTAGATGTTCACGTGCTCGACGAAGGTGCATGTGGTGATGATAATCAATAAAATGGATTTCCACTTCCTCTTCTACACCACCACAATGGCTATCACTTTGGATTCATGTGACGTTAGCTGCTACTGCTCACTCTTCATCCTTTTCTCAACCTCAGATAATCCCCATCTCACTGCACACTGCATACACATGCTTACCGTATCCCATCACAAGAAATGGCAGTTCTCCAAGCCACCAAACTTTGCACCACTGCACCGGGTGCCTCCGGATGCAAACAGCTGAAATACCTAAGAGAAAGTACTATGTATCAAGAAAAGGGGTAGTTGTGTTTCATCGTAGACGGGCATTGGCTGCAATTCCAGTCGTTCCCACTTCCAGCTGTACAATGCTTATCGGCTCACGATCTAGTTCCATCCCAAGCTGTTCTCAGCCATCACGGGCGGACTGATGTACGTCCGCCCACTCCTCTGAGAATTGCTGCGATCACTTGTTCTCGAGGTACGGCCAGCTAGACCACCGAATCGAGTGCCGTAGCTGCCTCTCGCGCCAGCCATGAGATTCGAGTTCTCGCCGGGACGGGCGCCGCGGTTTCCTGACTGCACGCTGCTTGATCTTTGGTGGCCAGCCTTGCGCTTTTTGTACCGACGGGCGACAAGGAACATTGCGGCTCCGTAGACAGCCGCGCCAGCGACAGCGCCGACTGCGATGCCGACAGAGGATGGACGCACCGGCGAGCTGCCCGAGTCATTGCTGCCCGGAGTGCCGCCATCAGGGGTACCGCTGTCGTCCGAGGTTGTGGCAGCAGAGTTCGCCGAGTTGACTGGTGTGCCGCCTCCAGCAATGGCAGAGCCAGGCAGAATGGGAATCGAAGGATCGATCATGCTCATGAGCGTCACCACAGACGGGTTCGGGTTTTGATAGAGCTCCGAGTTGGGATTTAAGAGATTCATGGACAATGTATCGACTTTGTCAGCTGGGATGAAGGCCATGGCCAACGTGGTGATGTAGTTCAGCGTATCCAAAGTGTTGTACGGCTGCAGGTACTGCATGACAACACGGTCCAGATCAAGACCCAGACCATGCGAGACACCGACGGGAAGATACGAAAAGATCTGGGACACAGCAGTCGGTGAGGAGACCACAAAAGCATAGTTGAGACCATAATTGAATCCCAGCTGGATCAAAGTAGAGTTCTCCGGAGCATCCGGCACACCTCCTTGAGGTTGAATAACGCGAGGCAGGGTCGTTGGAATCACTGCAGCGCTAGTTGAAGTCGACTTCGAAGTCATACTAGGGGGAGCTGTTGTCGCCGAGATGATGCTTGATTCTGGGGTCAAGACCGACGCAGAGTCTGTTCCTGTAGGTTTGACAGTATTTGTAGGTGGGATTGAAGATGTCAGACTTTGAGTTGTCGAAGGCGTGACCACGGGAGTCGTCGCAGGAGTAGTGGTGTTAGCGACGAGCGGAGGCACATTAGGAGTCGTTGTAGCAACAGTGGTGGTGGGTGTCTCCGTGGGTGTTTCGGTGGGTGTTACCGTGGGGGTGGTCTCCGTCGTCTTGGTGGTATCCGTAGGAGGAACAGTCACGGTGTTGTTGTTCGGGGTGTCTGTAATCGAAACCGTAGGGCTGATAGTAGGTGGTAGAGTAACGGAATCGGTGGGACTGATGGTTGGAGGTAATGTCACTGTGTCCGTTGGACTTACGGTAGGAGTTGTAACTGAGTCCGTTGGGCTGATAGTAGGTGAAACGGTTCCCGAGTCCGTTGCACTGATGGGAGGCAATGTGACTGAATCAGTAGGCAGAGTGGGCGATGCAGTCAGCGAATCGGTGGGAAGAAGTGTTGGAGTATCGGTTGGCACAAGTCCATCAGTGATCGAGGCCGTGAGTGATAGGAATGAGTTCAAGTCACTCGTCACATCAGCAGGACCGGAAGTCGTAGTAGGGGCTGCCGAAGTAATCACCGAGTTTGCTGAGCTCACTTCGGATGCGACCGAGGAAGCCGCATCGGCGGCAGACGACAGGGCAGAGGAGATTGATGCGATATCGGAACCGGATGCCGTCGAAGCAACGGACTGCAAAGAATTTGCGAGGGACAAAATCGAGGTAGCAGCATCGCTAGCTGAGACGAGAGCCGATGACGCCGCGGCAGTAATCGACGCCAAAACGTCCGAATCAGTTGTGCTCGTGGCAGAGTCCGTTGCTGTATCACTACTTGAAATGATAGAATCAAGCCCCAATGTGATTCCTCCTTCGTCCGAGCTTGAAGTGGCAGATGGTGTCCCTGTGATAGTCGGGGTATCCGTTGCAGTGGCAGTTGTATCTGTGTTGCGATCTGTCGGCACATCAGTTGCAGACGGTATGAACGCATCTGTAGCTGACGGCGAAGCTGTATCCGCAGACGTGTCTTCGACCGGTTGCGTGGCAGTATCCGTCGGATCAGCGCTTGATGCTGAGTCGGTGGTTTGCGCATCAGTGCTTGCTGGTGTTGATGTTGGGGTGTCGCCAGAAATGGCAGATGCTACCCCAGACAAGGCATCTCCTACCGACGAGATCAGGCTTCCCAGCCCAGAATCCGTAGAGCTAGAACTGGTAGAGTCGGTCGGAGTACTCGCGTCTGTTGTAGTATTGTCGAATGTGACCTGCCTCTTGACAACTCTCGGAAAGTAGTACCTGGGCTTCAAATCGGCACCTCGTCGGTGAGCGGGAACAGCATCCGCAAATGATCCTGCGACCACAGCAGCAAAAAGAGTAATGGATGAGATCTTCATCACGCAGATAGATGGCTTAAAGCCGGAGATCTGTAGGGTTCGTCAGCACAACCCTTGCCAATTCAAGACAATTCCCGTACTTGATATTCTCCCGTAAAACGAGCGTATAGGGTGAGTGTATATGTTCAAAAGAGTGGCTAGGATCAATTGATCCTGATCGGTTTTTTTCAACAAATGCGTCCCAGACGAAATCTTCGGGCTGATCCGTTTTCTCCAGTCAGTCGAGACCGTCGACTGTCACACTGATGGACAGAGTGCAGAGTGATCAGCCTTTGAGGGATAAGGTCGAGGGCCTTCTTTGTCTCTCGTGTCTGCCGGTGGAAGCGATCAAGTCGTCAAAGAATCCGATTCATGTATTTTAGGCGATTTCTTTGACCCAGATTTGCCCTTCCGTCTCCAATAAAGAACCCGGCACCACCTGTACACTTCCTCGAATTGTTGGAACCAGCCAATTGGTAGCGAAGACGAATACAGGATCCAAAAAGCCGTTGCTGTATATCCGTTCCCTGTTCAGAGAAGCGGCGAGGAATCCCACAAAGTATAATTCGCGGAGGCGATCACTGCCGTGGGAAGGTAAGAGCGAAGGAGCGTGTACGACGGGGTCAGAAATAAGCTGAATCTCGAAGAGTTGAAGGAATGTACGCGAGCTGTTGCTGGCAAAGTCGTAGGATGTGAAAGCGCTGCCGTCAAGGCGTAGGTGACTAGTCGAGGGGTACAGTTATCGGTCGCGAAAGGAGAGACAGCGACCACGGCGACGTTGACGGATCATCGAGGCTCGATGGTGAACGCGTGCTGGCGGGAAGTGTAAGGATAGAGAACAACGACTGAGAGGGAAAGCATTGTCGAGAGACCCATCGAAAGGGAGAGGGCTGGAGAGGCTGCGCTGGGCATTCGAAAGGGAGGAGGAGCCACCAAGCGCAGGTGCTAGACCTAAGCTGTCGCCGTTGGTCGAGACAAGGCGTGCGGGTTGTGGGCTCGGACCCAGCACAAAGTGGCGCCAACGGAGCGTCTCAGGCACCGTCATGGTACGGATGTTTCCACATAAATTACGCCTTTCAACCTTTTAAGGGCTGCAGTCAACCAATGCCCGCGCGGCATTCGAATCGGAGTTTGGCTGCTAACTTAAACCCACATGGTCAAAATACCGCCGAACCGTCATTTTACGTGACACGGACGTTGCTGAGCCTCCTCCGCCCTTGCTCTGCGTCTTTGTTGCTGGTCCTGGCTTTGTTCTTCTGCCCCCAAGCAATCTCGCAGTCAATCTCGTTACGCTGCTACCGCACGCTGTGGCTACTCATACCGTTTCCGTCTTTGGTCAAGGCTCGAGATGGGCCCGAGTCGTGATTCTTTCAAGCATTGACGAACTCGTTGATCATCACAGCCCTTTCGGACGACGAATTAGTCAAGCTGCTGGCTCTGGACGAAACGATCATTCAAACGGTATGTGCGTCCGATTTTCTGCGACAGCGGAGATGCTCAGCGTAAATTCTGGTCGGAAACACCAAGGACAAGGATCGCTTCAAGGTGAGCCCTTGTCAAGAGCCCTTGTGTGATGCGTGGCCATTGTGGCACTGCGCCGCCAGTGAGGACCAAAAGCATGTCTGCAGCACAAGCAAGCAATTTTAGGCCAGGAACAAGGACGAGAGCCAGGAACCACTTGGAGCCCAATCGCGTGTTAGCCAGACACCCGGCTGATGTTCCCTCGATCCAAGCGGGACAGTAGATTGGCTAGAAAAATCCCATCATCTTCCCCATCTGCCGCCCTGTTCGTAATCCTTGAACGGCTCAACGCCAAGGGCTGAACATCAGCACCAATGTTCATTGTGTACGGAAAACTGCTGTACTCGTGCTGTGTACCGTACGGCCGTCGCACTGCAGGAGTGGTATGTATATAGCCTGTAGCTTGGTATGCAAAGAAAGGTTGGCGGCATTCCTTGTGCGTAGGTACAGGACTGCACACAACGCCCTTACTCGTAGGACTTGGTCACCTTGTCAAGGATGCCATTGCGACGATATCCGCTGAGCAAGAGTCGGCCCCACTGCCGAGCTGCCGATGTTGTTTCATTCAGGGGTAATCAAGCGCCGTCTGAAGTCACCGAAAAGGGCCACGTCTCATGCCTTGAAAGCACATGGATGCTCCAGCCGGAAATTTTACTGGTCTCGATTTTTCTCCCATGTGCAATCACGCGTACTCGTATCTTCTGCCGCAAATTACACTGCACAGCGCGAAAGCCTCGAGCATTCCACCACTGTGATGGATCATTCGGGACGATCAGTGCTCAAATTCTCAACCACATGGCGCGCAGTATGTTGATCAACAACTCGGTCCAAACCGCGAACCTCAGAGGCTTGGCTCAAATTCATGGATCGTCGCCTAATGCAAAATATGCTCATTGGATTGCGCAGCGTATAATGATTGTTTACCCTGCACAGTACGTAGTAGTAACGGCTTGCTCAAGGTCTGATAAACCAGTAGCGAGAAGACGCTGGGTGCTGCGAATGGCATTGCTCGACTCTTGTGCGAAAGTGCCAGTGGTAAACCTGTTGGGAGCGTGTCTCTACACGCTACTACAAACATCAAGCTCGTTTTCGATCATGCCAATCAGCCCGCTACCCTTGATATAGCCAAGACGTACGGAGTAGACTCAGAGCGGACTGCTGTTGAAGTGCGAGAGTGCTCGCTTTTTGCGGTGAATTCTGGGATCATGTTGCGGAACAAGCAGATACATGGATTACCCAGGAGCAAACCGTTGCGGACGGGGACGGACAGCCATGAATACGAATCTGATCAGGCTGACGATATTCACTCATTTTGACTGCAAATGCTAGCGAGTGCACACACTCCTTTCACCAGCAGTAGGAGTGGCAAGACAGGCGTGTTGCGCACTCGAACTACTGTACATGAGCTCGACGGAGTACTTGTAGTAGCCGATCAGTCAACCAGACCTCGGCAGAATGTTCAGCCCACAGTGTTAAGGCATCGCAAGCATCTAAGTTGGAAGTGCGAACAATGGTTATCTTTCGCCAGTCGTCAAAGACTTGGGTGTCGGTCTTCTCCCTCAACGCCCACGCACAGATCACGGCCATTTCAGATGCATAAGACAGGCAGTGGTTGTTGTCCCATGGACCCTATTCTGGGAACTAAGTGCTGGAGGATGCGCAGGCCGAGATCGGGCGGCCAGAGGACGGGAAACGGGTCGTGTGGGCACTGGAGGTGAAAGGCCTGGAGCACGTCATTTGCGGCTGCTCGTCTTTTTTGCCCGCAAACTGCACTTTGATCCACTCGGTAGATGCGCTTTGCGAGCGACTCTAAAAACATCGCCTTGACCTCGTCCGCTCGCCCTCTAGCTGCTTATTATTACCTGCTTTACCGTTGACTCAGTCAGTTGCTGTTGACTGACCGACGCACTGACTCTCATATGTCCTTGAACGTACTGATCAGCAGCCTGCAAGTTGTCGAACTTGTGCCTCCACCCCTCTCCGACCACCGCCACCATGTCTGAGTCAGGTTCTTCTTCCACACCGCCATTGAAGAACCCGAAGCTCAGCGCAATGAGCAAAGCCTTCGCCAAAGTTGATCTTGATGGGCACGACTTACCACCGTCACCTGTGCCGTCGAGCCCCAGAAGCGGTCGGCAGTATGCATTGGCAACGCAATTGGTCTACTCGGAAGGAAATGACCAGTACAATGCCAGCAGTGTGCCCATATACCAGGTCAGTCAATACAGCTCTAGCTTGGTGTTACGAACCGACTAACGGCCCATAGTCTGCGACATTCAAGCAGACCTCTGCCACAGGCGGCGTCTCCAACGATTATGACTACACTCGGAGCGGCAACCCGACACGCACCCACCTCGAAAAACATCTCGCAAAAGTCATGCGCGCGAAACGGGCTCTTGTTGTCTCGTCCGGCATGGGCGCTCTTGATGTGATCAGCCGCCAATTGAGACCCGGCGACGAGGTGGTAACGGGCGACGATTTGTATGGAGGAACAAATCGGCTGCTGAAATATCTCGGCACGCATGGTGGGATTATTGTTCACCATGTTGACACCACAACGCCTGAAAAGGTGCAGGAAGTCCTGAGTGGAAAGACGGCCATGGTTCTGCTCGAGACGCCCACCAATCCCTTGATCAAGATCGTAGACATCCCGACGATTGCAAGCATGGCTCACGCAGCCAATCCTGCGTGTCTGGTAAGCGTGGATAATACCATGCTCTCACCGTTGCTTCAAAATCCACTGGAGCTTGGTGCAGATATTGTCTACGAGTCTGGCACCAAGTATCTGTCAGGCCACCACGACTTGATGGCGGGCGTGATCGCCGTCAATGACGAAGCACTCGGCGAGAGGTTTTACTTCACGATCAATGCCTCTGGCTGTGGCCTTGCGCCCTTCGATTGCTGGCTCCTAATGCGCGGCATCAAAACCTTGAAGGTGCGCATGGATGCGCAACAGGCCAACGCCATGATGATCGCCCAGTTCCTCGAATCTGCCGGCTTCAAAGTTCGCTATCCAGGCCTGAAGAGTCACCCGCAGTACGATTTGTTCCACTCTATGGCACGTGGCCCGGGTGCAGTCTTGTCTTTTGAGACAGGAGACATTCAATTGTCCGAACGGATCGTCGAGTCCGCGAAGCTGTGGGCTATTAGTGTTAGCTTCGGATGTGTCAATTCCCTCATCAGCATGCCTTGCCGCATGAGCCACGCCAGCATTGACGCAAAGACACGCGCAGAGCGTGGTGTACCAGAAGACCTCATCCGCTTGTGCGTGGGCATTGAGGACGGGGAAGATTTACTCGATGATCTTCAAAGTGCCTTAGTACAATCCGGCGCTATGAATGTCACCCTTGATGGGATTTATGCGAAGAACGCAACAGTCGGCGACGAGCATCCCGCCGAAGGAGAGCATTTGGCGGCTAAAGCCGCCGCCATTAACGAGCCCTGACGAGGCTCTTGACCTGTATGATCTGGCGTGGACCGGTGTCCAAATGCATGGACCCTGAAGAGGTTTTATACTTGCAATTGGTTCGAAAAATGAAAAGGATAAAAAGACATTCACAGGGCGCAAAAGCAGGTCATACTCCTCCATTACAGGCTCGATGAGGACCAAAAACTATTGCCATATGTTTCGTGTGATTTGTGTCCGCCCGGGGAGCAACGTAGATAACCACGAATATACTATACCGATCCACACATAGCGGAAGATAGAAAAGCAAGATCTTCCTCAATCACTTCATCACGGATGTGTTTCAATATCTCCACGGAGGCACAGAGTCCAATGTGCTAGACCTAGAGTCGTGGACCTTGGGGGCTGAGGTTTCCTCTAGACACTCTGCTCCAAATCATAGCTGCTCAGGAGTCATGGCTCAAGCAAGTTACCTCGCTCTTACATGCGGCTTACAACGATATGATTTCACCTTCTACGGTTTCTGTCACTACCACCTTCCGTCGTCATACTATCCTGCTCTGAAGACTCGCCAGCTCAACATAGTCAGCAAGGCTGAACTCCCTCCCTAAAAACGGAGCTAAGCACGCCTTGTTACCCCGCGGTAGCCCCTCGTCACGTGTTTATGGCGTTGGCTATATAGATTGTACATGCTCATAAATGAGCTGAAACATTGTCGATTTCGGACACAGATTTCGAGGGGGATTGGCGCAGTATGTTCATAAAGCCTCGCTGATATCCTCATTTTCAGTTATTAACAATGTTAGATGGTAGCGCGTGGCTCTCCTGTTCGTCTCACCTCTCTCTACGTTCCGACAAAAAGACTAATAGCCTCCTAGATTACTTCCGAAGCCAAGGTTGTGGGTTCGAGTCCCATGTTCCTCGATTTTTTGTCCCTGACTCGGTCCTCAGGTAGCGGGATGGAAAACCAGACCTTTCCCTTAATTTTTTCACACTGCTCGAACACTTTAGTGCGCGATCGCGTCGAGGATGCAGCCCTTCTAGCATTCGCGGACTATATATAGGGACTTGACAGGCAGGTCGTGCGGGTGTTACTTTTCGGCTCATCCTACTACGGGGACCGGAACGATGCTGTGTTCGAAAGATTGTTGAAGGGGTGATGAGCGTGACTGTGTCAATACAGAGCCGGACAAGTCACGGTATGCACCGACAAAAGGCATCATCATCATCATCATCCGTGGGAGCTCCGACTTTTCGAAGATCCCAGGCCAACCTGTTTCAGTCATACATGTTCCTCGCCGATTGGCAAGGCGCTGACACAGCCCGGTGCCATCGGGTCTGTCTACGTAGTATGGCCTTGCGAGGTAGCGTTCAAAAGCCCGCAAGCAAGGATAGGTACTGGTTCATGGCCTTTGCAAATCGTACGCCGTCACAATCGTGTCTGAAGGCGGGACAGTCTTATCATACAGTCCTGTCCAACTTCGCATCTGATTATCTAGCGTTGAACCCACCCGGCCAACGCGATCCCAAAGCAATTTCTACTAGTGGTACAGAGTGCGGTGGTGTCCGGGGGAAGCCACCAGCTCTATATAGTAGCTGGGAAGAAACAATGCCGGCCCATCTAGTGCTACATTTTGTCTAAAAACCCGAAACCGATCTGGAAAACGACAGCCACCAACACCGGCAATGCACACGCCAGCAACGCAACGCAATAAAGTTCGTGGAAGCTGTCACCGGCCACCGTCGAGGTCGTCTCATTACTGTTCGAGCTTGGCCATGAAGCTCTTCCGCATATTAGCATTAACGACACCACCAACTCCAAAGGCAGGGATAATCCGTCCCATCCGCGCGAAAGCACTAACGCTCCAATCCCGGACGATGCGGGAATACCGCTCACCGAGCCCGAGACGACCCTGTCTATTGTACAAATCCAAGCCGAGAAGATGGATCGGTGTCGAAATCAGCTGAATAGCCGCCGGGGCCAGGAACTGAGCGGTATTGGTCCGTCCCGCATCTGTCGACAGAATGCGCGATAGCCGGGATTGTACCTCCGGTGGCAGATTTGCGAGCCTCGGCGCGATCATGGAGGGTAGGTTGAAGGAGGCAAAGATGGTGAGACAGTCACGCACGGCGAAGAGAGCGTACGATAGCTTCGGCACGACGGCCGCGGGGGAGACGGAGGCGGCTGGGGAGGACGCGCCAAACATCCGCGCGAAGCACGAATCCTTGTACACGCACAGACTCATGTTGACGGACGATGTGGCGAGGAACTTGCTCGTGCTGGGTGTTACTGTCGACGCGGGCTTGGAGGTCACTGTCGAGTGGAAGGTGTCGACCGTGTTGGCGGTGGAGTACGTCGCAAAGTAGAGGCTGAAGATCAGGAGGAATGGTTTGGAGAGGATGAACTGGTGTGGTCGGGTCATGGCCGGGCGGAGGGAGCGAAGAAAGCAGGAGGAGAAGGATGCCCCCTTCGCGGCTTTCTCGACAATCGACCTGTCCATTGGATGTGGTCGTCAGTAAAATCACGGACACCGACCAAGTGTGAAGATATTGGAGGAGAGTCGTTTGGAGCAGGTGGAGGCACTGTAGGTCTTGCTATGTCCTATCCAGTACGCAGGCTAGAGACAACGCTGAGACTGTACGCTCTTTTCTTCTCGCCTTTTGCGCTAGGCAGACAACCGTCCAGGGTGACCTACCGGTCTATTACGGTTATGATTGGTGCAACCAAGACGGCAGCACTTGCAGCAGGAATGAAGTCCGCGCCCAGTCGCAATCCCAAATCCGCAGTATTCCAGTGTACATCTTTCTTCGGCTCTCTCATGACCTTTGCTAACGAGGGGATATGAATGTGGGCTTCGGGGAGAGAAGCTGCGGGTGAGTCATTTGATATCGTGCTTGAGGCCCTCTTCTCTTTGAGTTTGGGCAGAGGATGCTGCTGTTCGGACATGTCGGTCGCGGAGGGTTTTGCGCAAGGTGCATTGATGCCAGCTTGATGGGCCCTGTTGCTGGCACTTTCCTGCGCGGAACGCTGATGATTTGCGCACCGAGGACTTCACGCCTTGATGTATCGGCGGCACTGCTGACTGTGTTGCTGGCACGATCGTTCGTATTGTGCCTCTACTTAGGAGGATCACTTTATGCGCAGCGAAACGGATTTGGAATCGACTCAAAAGATGGCTCGGGTCAATCTACACCGACCCGATATCGGCCCGGTTCCTGAGAAGCTTCGCAGCCTTGCTCAACAGCCGACAAGGCTGCGACAATTTGATGGATCCGGACGCCCGAGGCAGATGAAGGAGGCATGCAACAAAGACTATGAGCATGATAAGGGTATACTTGCAGCCGCATCTAACACAGCAATATGGGCCGCCGGACTGGAGTCCATGAGCGAGTCGCGTTAGGAAGATGCGAGCTAGTCTCAGCTGAGGTCTCTCTTCACAGCTCGAATGTATGTGGAATGAGTAGGATAGTATGTGCATGGTGAAGAGTCGAGGAGCGGTACCATCGGTGTCAAACCAACTCCGATCTTGATTTTATAGATCCTTCTTTTCTTGCGCAATCTGCGTTTCGACTTGCAGAGCCTCCTTTCTGCCCGTATGAGGTCTGACCCCGACGGCGTTTTCCCCGCCAATTGCTCGGAAGGCGGTATAAAAAGTCCATTCCACAGCCTCCTCGACAGGCTTATCAAACAAATAAGGCAGGGCTGGTACTGCTGCAAGACCGAGCTGCATTTACGTTAACGCCTGCGTTCAATGATGTCACATGCTAACTTACACCTATTGGTCCCCATGTCCTCACCGTGGCGTTCGTTGCATTCTTAAGCGCTTTCCCAGAGTATCTCACAATGGAATGTATAGTAAATGCCGGTAAACCCATAGACGCAATACTCTGGAACACGGCACGCTGCGCCATAACGGCCTTGTAGTCCTCGATCGCTGGTATGTGGACGGGATGTGTTGGAGGAATAGCATCGATCTTGCCCATTGGCTCTTTTTGTCTTCCGTCGAAGTGCTCGTCCCCCTTCGGGGCTGCCAACCTCTGATTCCTCTTGTATGCCTTCCACCCTTCGTGACTGACATCACCGATGATATACGCCCAAGATATGCCGTACGCGCTCCTAACGAGTATGGGATGGGCAACAGGCCGAAACGATTCGCCGATGTCTGAGGTATATGCGACATAACGATGCGCGCTCAGCATGATGGTGCGCAGACGGTTGGCGTAGGCGGCATATCGCACGCTTGTCTCAGTCGTGTCAGGCCCTTGCCCCTCGTAGATGTTGTCCCATATGTCATCTTGTTTGTCAATCAGCTTTTGCAGGTCCTTATTCAGTTGCTCTCGTGGGAAAGCAGAGTTCGGGCGCCCGTCCCCGTCTTTGCCGGCCATCGTGAAGGAGGAGTCTATTCAGAGTGAGCACCAGGAGGTCTTGAAGCTGAGACTAGACCTCAAGTCTCAACTCTCGTCTACAAAAGAAGGCGACAGAGGCAGAAATGCCTCAATGTCGAAGGGCTTGAGCTGGTTGGACAAATGGCAACAACATCTTCAGGCACCTAAGTACCTACTGCTCCCCAGCGCCGAGCCGGAAAGGTCGAGACGTCATAGCCTGCTACTGTAGATCATATGTTTCGTGTAGCAGCTCCTGGTTGTACGGTGAGTCATGCTAACGAAGCTCCTGGTTTCTCAAACGCAAATCGCAGTTGATCAAGTGTAATTCAACAACTCCGTCAAACACTTCATTCGCACCTGATCCTAGAACGGACTTCCGCTACCTCCTGAACCGTCAAGATGGTCGCCATGTACACTATTGCGGGCCGCCAGGTCGGATCACACGTCGTATGTCACCAGTGCTCGAAAGCCTGAATCCCAGTTGAGGCTTCTTACACAAGTCGTTCTGAAACTGACGATTTGTAGCTGTCCATGGCTACGCTCGGCACGGTTTTCGCCATCCCCTTCCTGTTGCCAGGCGGAAGCAAGAATAAGAACTCAAGCACCCCGCCTATCAACGCTTCGAGCAAAGATGAGGAGAAGTTCATTCAGTAAGGACAAGGCACCGTCCTTCGCCTCCGAAATACCGTAACTCATGCCCTTTAGGGACTTTCTAAAGCAAATCGAGCAAGAAGAGAAGGCAAATAAGATCTCGGGAAAGGAAGCGCATTGAGCTGAGGAGCAAGCACGGCGACATGACAGTTAGGACGACTTGCGGATTGTACATAAGCTAGACGGATCACACGCCGCAATATTAAGCTTGACTCGAGAGCCTTGCATTCCCGGAATGATCACGGCTTCAGCTCAAAGACTTCTCCGTCTTCCGTCGGTCGACCCATCTTGACTCTTGCAAATCCTTTTCCCAGGTCCATCACAATTGAAAACAATGTCTGGCTGGTACTCTTCTCACCGACAGCCCTATTGATCGCGGTAGGGTAGTTCTTGTCGTCTTTCAACATTTCACTAATCTTTTCCACCGATGGCTTGTCGACGGTTCGCATCAATTCTTGAATGCGGTCAAGGCGGAAAGGGGAGTCGTTCAAGAACACCGTTCCCTCCACCTTGTGCTTCTTGACCAGGTGATTTGAGTGAGTACAAGTGCCCGCCAGCTGACCGTCAGTTTCCATGGGCATCTCGATTATGTCAAGAGCGGTGCATTCGAATCCGATGCCACCGGTGGAGGAATCAGCAATCGTGATATGACAGGCCGACGCGACGCCTGTTTTGCGCAGAGCATCCACCGCAGCTTCTTTGGAAGCACTGTTCAGTGCTGTCCTGAGCGCAAGATGGCACGGAAGCTTGTCATAGGATACGCCAGGCGCCTGTATAGCGTTCAGGGTGACTCCTACTCCAGCAGAGTTCAGGCCTATTTTGCCAATGATGCCGCCTTCGGTCATCATGTGGATGTTTGGCTTGGGAGGTTGCGTGATCGACAGACAGACGATATTTGGCGTCTGCTCGAAGTTCCAATCCCAATTCTGGGCAAGAAAACTGGCATCTGACGTCTTCCAGGACAAAGCGGTGCAGCCATCGCTCAACATGCCATAGGCGATTTCAGTGCGCACATTCAATGCGACGATTGATTCGAGGTCCACTCCAGCGCCGTCAGCGACGCCGTGCATCTCCTCCACATACTCTGGATACGCGGACTCGATGAATGGAACGAACCGCGAAGCGACATCACGGACTTCTGACCATGCCAGCTTTGTTCTTTCCTTGAAGAACGCTCCATAAAAGGCGATGCTGCCGTGTACCTGGGTTTTGGCTCCCTGCCCGTGCAGATAACCGATCTGGATACGACGTTAGTAGCGCCACTCTCTCGATGTCTTTGAGGGCCCAGTCTTCTTACTTCATAGGGCGTTCCAGAACACTGAATATGCTTCACCGGCATCTTGAATTACAGTCACCCGAATTTCGCTTGCCAGCAGATAAAGAATTGAGAGGGAAACCGCACGGAGTGGAGGACTGCTATTTCAAAGCATCGCACCGACCACGATCTCCGCACCTCACGGAGTTGTGCGTGATGGTTGTACATCGTAGGGGCAGGACTGTTCGTCGTGTTGTACGGATAGCTATACACTGTGTAATTGGCCTTTGCAAAGCGAACCCGGCAGAAAGTTGAGAGAGGGGCGGAGGACACAGCTGCCATAGGGTCACGATCATTGCACAGGAATACTTACTTCCCACTCAATCACTCAAAAGACAATCGAGAGGAACAGAATCTTGCACTCGGCTCGTGCCGACTTGACTTCCCCTTTAGGTGTGACTTGTCTGTTTCTCCAACTCGCACCACTGATGATTATCAAATACCTCGCGTCGCACAGTAGCTATTGCACCCAACGGACCTCTCTTAACGGACGCGCATCCTCATTCTCGCGTCTATAGTCCAGATCGATAATCACATTGAACTCGATTGAACGTAGTCGCGCAGCGTTCATCTTCATGCGCGTGCCATTCCCTCTACAACTGCGCGTAGGCACAGATATTATCGCCACGCACAGGATCCTGTCCCCACTCCAACCTGATATCCCACGGGCAGTCAAACTCAGCAAACGTTTCCTGCTACCTCAAGAGCTAGACGACCTCAGCCGCCGCTTTCCAGCTTGGAACGATGCACGTGCGCAAGACCGACTTCCGACACAGCACATTGCTGCCTGGATAGCTGGCCGGTGGGCTGCTAAAGAAGCAGCTAAAAAGGCTTGGGGCGCTTCCCTACTCAGCTTTCAAGATTTGAGAGTTGAAGCAGATTCTGATGGTGCCGTACACGTCGTCTGTGATATGAGCACGACCTCGGACGCCTTGGCAGACCGCTCTGCCTCTTCCAGCACGGTGACGGAGCAAGTTGCCGAACTGAGTATCAGCCACGACGGAGACTACACTGTTGCGACAGTGCTCGCCACGCCACTACATCCAGATATATCGTCCGAGCTCGAGCAGCGGAAAAATCGAGCCCAGGCTAAAGTTCGCGGTCCACTTCCCTGAATTCGCGAACCTTTGGATCAAGGGAGGCTCCTTCGCTACCTAGCTAGCTACGACCGGGGGCGGTATTGAATTCACGACGATCGAAGTCAATGCTCCCAACAGGGGCGGTTTTTGAGCAGAACGTTGTGTGTTCGAGACTAGAGACAACATCACTGTGCTGCGTGGGCATCATATCAAGTTCTAGCCATGCGTGCAATGCTGCTCAACGAAACACAGGCCGCTAAGCAGCTACTCTCTGATTTCACATTCTGGAACTCAGCAAGAACAACTTGGCCTATCCCAACTATCCACTCCCGATGTCTACGCCGGCGTTCTTGATCGACGTTGAAAATGTTGTCAGAAATGGCTGGGTGGTCGTTGAGGTGGCTATCAGAGAAGGTCCCAACATAATCACGAGCTCATTGAAGCTGTGGGTGGGCGATGACGGGATTAACGCTGTCGCTATCCGAGCAGTAGGGAGTAAGGACTACAATGGCTATTTACTACTTGCTTTGGCTGAACAAGTGGCGGGATTGGCTGCTTGAAGCGGTACGGATATCAGCAAACAACGTCCTCAGCTCCCCGGAGCAACCACATCGCCCGAGGATAGGGGATGTTCTTCGATGAAGGCAGACCGAGTCGAAAGGCAACAAGGATCTGGAGAAATAGCCTGACCTAGCAATCGGGCCGTCCAAGGTCGTTTCAGGGAGATTTCATGAATTGTCTCGGCCTAGCATTTTTGTACTAGCATTTTTGTATCAGCCTCGGCCTTCGCGAGCTGATATCTCTGTCACTTTCGATTTAGCCTTCCTTATCCAAGTTGGTCACCGTGTTCGGCTTATGTGCCACTTTCTTGTTGTTTTGGTCCGTGAACACAACTGCCGGTGCATGTCCTGCCCCTTTAGCATTTTCCAGTTGTTTGGCTTGCTTCTCGCTTGTGATTATCTGTTCGACCTAGTGTAGCGCACATGGGTGGTCAGTGAGAGGCTGTGATGTCGACTTGGTCTCTTCAACAGGTCACAAGCTACTCACCTCCCCTTCATGCTTGCCCCCACGGTACTGTTCCAGTAAGCATTGTCCGACTTTTCTCAGGGATGACAATATACTCACAGGCGTGGAGACAGTATCACCCTTCTCGATAGTTGCTCCGCCCTTGGACTTAAGCTCGGACATTGTTTCTTTTGCTTGCTATAGAAAGTGCTAGTTGACGATGGTTTTGTTGGGGTTAGAGATGCGTTACGAGGAGCCTCGCAGCCCCGGAGCCCCTCCTTTTGAGGGCGGGCGTGCACCAACGTCACTTTGTACTCACGGTCCTCCTTCCCTGCGAGGCTGGAAAGCGTGTGGCCTGATTGGTTCGCTGGTCTATTTCCGTGGCGTCATCCATCCAATATAAAGTATCGTGCCTGTCGATCAACCACAAGGCCAACTCAACTTTCACACCAGACTCGTTCAACGGGGCGTGGAAACATCTCGAGCCCGCCGCAGAAAATGAGATCATCGAGGTTCTCGAGCATGACGTCAACTGCCAGGGCGCTGCACACGACCATTTTTCTATCGAAGCTCATCCCTCCTTGAAGTTGATTCCTCCATACTCTTCATACTCATTGTTCGAGAAAAAGCACTTCTTCGGAGAAGAGAACCTCAGAAACAACCGCAATCTAAATCAACCAATTCACCATGGCAGCCAGAAACGCGGACTCGATGACCAATGCCCAGGGCGAGTTCCATCCCAGACAGCCCCGTGCAGAGCCCATGGAGAAGCACGGAGTAAGTACTTAAGCCATCAAGAGTCCGTGGTCCAAGAAACTCAGAGGACCGTTATCCAGCCGGAACAGTTCGCGCTAACATGTCTTTCGCAGCACCAAATGGGCCAAAAGACGTCACCCAACGACTACGCTCCCGAATTCTCGGCCAAAACCCTCCCACCAGGGACCGCTCCTAAAGAATCAACCTTCCAACCGAACGCCACATCTGAGATCCCGGGTCAACAGTTCAACGACAACGTCGACCGCTCTCACGGGAAAGAAGGCGTCCGCACAGATCCCCTCAGCACCCTCCCCGGCGCCACATCCGCCGATGTACATACTGGCCTAGGCCACCCAGGCCAAGGTCAAACAAGCACCGAACTACGCCACGAAGGCCACCACACCGCGTCGAAAGCCACTTCGGGCCCCGAGGGCGCCGGTGCTACCGGTGGCAGCGGCCTCCACAACCCTGATGACTTGAACCGGGAATTCCGCCGGTTACAGGACGATAGCACCCATCCCACAGGCCCGATCAAGGAACATAACCAGACCTTGGCCGGCGCGGAAGAGAAAGAGCCCATGAGCGCAGAGTTTGTGGCGAGCGAGGGAGGCAAGGCGGGTGAGTACGCCAAGGGATCCGGGTCGAGAAACGCGACGACAGGGGCGTCGAATAGGGGAGCCGCTGCGCCAAGGGAGTAAAACGTGCCTCGTTATTGACCTACTCAGTAATTGGAGGAAGAAGTTCAGGAATACCTGCCTGTTATAAACAGGAAATGGCTTCGGACTAGGTGGTGAACAGCGAGAGCCGATGAGTTCGCCTGTGTGAGATCACCCGAGGCTAGCAGTGCGGGTATCATGCTCAGCTGTCTCCCGTGGTCCCAGTCCTTCCCACTCATGTCCCAGAAGAAGTGACATTCACGGCCGAGGAGGGGTGGTATGCCTCATGAACGGCTATTGTGTACACAAAATTATGGAAAAATCCAATGGGCTCCTAGATGATGCCGATCGTCCAACACGTGTAAGGCTGGTCAAACGAAGTTGCTTGGTAGACCGAACTCAGACAATTAACTCGCGTGACATGATCTGGACGTCAAAGACTTTCCTTGCGCCTAACCAACGCCCTATCTATCGACACCTCTCAAAGCAGCATGTGGATGCTGTTCGGCTACGTTGAAGGTCTCGGAGCGACGAGGCTAGCGAGAGAGTACGAGAGCGTTTCTATACAAGGACAACAACTCTGGCAAACACTTCCACGCTGATATTGAGTAGTTCACACACAGTACGATCACTCTCCAGCCGAATTGACTAATCAATGACTGGTCGCTCATCGAGACCCTCCTTGCCCTTCTTCACTTCCTTCGCATGCCCATTGACCCCACCATTTTCTTGCACACCCTTCCCCTCGACCACCTCAATGCCTCCCTTCTCTTTCGTTCTGTGCTCAAAGCTATCCACCTCGACACCGCTGATGAGAGCCTGGCTCACCCCCTCCAATCCAGCGACAAAAACACACAACAAACTCCCAATCACAAAGTGACTAATCGTCGTCCCTATATCCAACCAACTCCCCTCATCCCTCACCATCCAGAAGAAATTCAGCGTCATGATGTCACTTATGCTCATCACCGTCATGAACAGTGCCGAGGACTGCAGTCCCAGCCTTCGGTTCAGAATGCCGAGTGCGGCAGAGATGATTGCAAATGGCACCATGAGTTTAAAGAGTAGGAGGGCGCCTTGGGAGAAAGGGTCGAACACGGGAATGAGGCGGTAGACCGCGTCGAGTGAAAAGGACGATACAGACGCGATGTTTCCGGTCGAGAAGAAGGCGGATTGTAGGAAGAAAAGGAAGAAGAGGGCGCGGCGGAGGTCGGGCAGTGAGAGAGTCCGAAACGTTTGTTCAGGATGTATGTTCGACGAAGTGGGGGATGTCGATGTTATGGTGATGCTGCTCGGAGGAGGTTGAGATCTGTTTGGCTGAGGTTGAGAGGAAGTATGCAGCTGGATGGCGTGTTCGAGTCGCACCCAGGCGAGGAGGGTAAAGCAGAAGGTAAAGTAGAAGAGGCCCTCGTAAGAGATTGTGAGAAGGACAAAAGACGGCGAGAAGGTAAGGAAGATAATGACCAAGCGGTGCAGGTAGTGCTTGTTTGGTGCGATTCGGTGGACGAAGGGGAGGATGACTGAAGCCAAAAGGACCAGCCAGCCAACAACTTGATTTCCAACTGGAAGTCCTTTCTTTGCCTGAAGTGAGGCGACGCTTGAGCGCGTGACGATGACCGTCAACAGGATGATGCCAGTTTGAAGTCCCATCAGAGTCCGCGAAAGGATGTTTGTGTCGGCGTATGCGCCCGCCGATTCAGACTGCGAGGTGATATCGTGCTCAAAGGTGAGGTAGAGCAGGCCCGCACCGAACATCAGGAGGCCACCGGCGGTGATCATAGTTGAACTCTCAACCTTGACAACAGGGAGAAGTGTGAAGGTGCTGAGGACCAGGCAGCCAGCTGCCCATGCAAGGAGTATTAGTTTGTTCTTTTTGACGAAATCCGTGCCGTATGATGCAGGGAAGACTGCTCCCAGAAGGTACAACACGGTGAGAATGCCCCGGTGGAAGTATGCTTGAACCTGGACGGGTCAGGAACGGACCAAAATGATGGGGGGCAACTTGAACTCACCAAACCCTCAATGACAAACAGGAAGCAAAATGCCTGCACGATGAGAGAGCTGGACTTCGAGAACCCTTGAATATGCCCGAGTAGGACTTTGGAGCCGGAGAACAAGGCGTTCCTTCTGGCAAAGACTTCTTCCCAGAAGAAGACAGGAAACGCCGCGTACCCATAATATGTCACCGGTGATCGCTCGATGATGAAGAACGAATACAGTGCAACAAGAATGGAAGAGAACGCCAGAAGAGAAGCAGTTGTCCTTTTGTCCGGCACCGCACCATGCAGAACATGCAGGTCGATGACTGTGGTAATACCAAAGGTAATCCAGCCAAGATACCCGATGGTAATGAGAGCTCGAAGGAAAAGCCAGTCGTACGTTTGTAGATAGCGCAGCCCTTGCAGAGCGTGACCGAACAGATCCGAGCATAGTTGAATAGCAAGTTCGTGCTGGTTGTTTGCAATTGCACTCTCAATAGCTGAGATACGATCAGCAACAGATGCGTTGGCCTTGGAAAACGGAGGATAAGGCTGATACTTCAGAGAAGTCGACTTCTTCTGCTCCTCCTTGACCCTGTACATCTCCAGAAGCTGTTTCGTATTGACTAGGAATGCGTTGGCTTGCTTCTCTGTCGTCGCAGCTAGGTAGGATAAGGGTAACTTTCCAACAGAGTTCACAGGATACTCAACTCCGACAAGGTATGCCATAAGGGCTGCAACATCGGCTTGATCAACATCATGTCGTTGGACATGATCCAGACCCCAGTCGAACGAGAAGCCATCCTCATGGCCGGGGGCTTTCTCGCCATCAAAAACTCGCGGCTGAGCAACGCCAGCTCCCCAGGCAATCAAGGGAGTCCTTGTGTTGTCGGGATGACCATCGCCGTGGCTTCCCCAGTCACTCATACCGTGATCAGCGGTGAAAACATAAGCTGTTTCGCCATCGCCATAGAATTCTTCAACCAGATTAGTTATTTCCTGAACACCTTGATCCACAACCTTGATGTTGTGCAGATATTCCTTGGAATACGGGCGGTATGAATGCCCAGTTGTATCCAACCCTAGCAGATGGAGGAAGAAAACGACCTTGTCCTCGCGGAGTATGGCATCCAGTGTGGAATTTGTGCTGGCTGATTTGAAGAGCTCTTTGACCCGGTCGAAGACCCAGACATCCAACGCCGTGGCATCCTGCGAGAAGTCCTCGAATTCTGCACCATACGTGTCCGCATCGATTCGACCTGGCACCGCGCCCTCTTTGAACATTGGGAGAATGTCGGGACTGCCCCAACTCCATGTGTGTCGGCTCCTGTTGAAAACGCTGTCGAAGTCGACTGGGTTCAGTTTCCATCCCGTTGTGACTGCGGAGACGTCTTCATAAAGGCCGGCTATGAGCGCGACATGGCCAGGCCTCGACTCGGTTGGCACTCGTGTATGGGAAACGCCGAATGTGCCATGCTCGAGGACTCGGGAGCGCAGAAAGGTCGCCAAAGGTCGAGGAGCGAGGTCGGCATTGGCTGGATCGGGGGGAGATGGGTCTGGGAAGGACTGGAAGGCTTTGTCTGCGCGGAGCCCGTCGCCAACATACAAGATTAATCTCTTCGCCGGGGCTTTCTCTTGCGGGACCCCATAGAGCCTCATGCCATGCACAATGGGACTGACAAAATATATATCGAAGATCGAGTATAGGTAAACTAAGTGGAAAATCACGGCCAGGGCCAGAAACCCTCCGCGACCTAATCTGGCCATTCTTGCGCAGTCTAAGGGAAGGAGCGACTTGGGTTAGACGGTCATATTTCTGTGAGATACGAGTATACACTGTACTGTACGGGAACCACAATCACAACAACTATCAGCATGGCGTCCACCGTCGCAGGCGCTCAGGAGCGGGAAATTCTCAAAGGGGCAACTGCGGCGAAGACGCACACGATTCCGCAACGACACGTGGGCGTCGAGGCATTTGTGGGTGGAAGTCGAGTGAGGAGCTAGCTAATGTGTCAAAGAACCGTTCCAGCGGGAATGGGATACAGACAAGGACGGGACTCTCTATCGCATGTGGCATGCACATCATCTATTCATCCTCATCGACCAAGAAATTCAGCCAGAATTTCAACCCTTCCACGCTTTCCTCTCGGCACAATGCTCCTCTTTCCTCTGCCATTTCGAGTTCTTCGCTGGCAACACCAAGACTCCAGCCGAACCGTGCCGCTGCCTGCTGTGCTGTAATGCCGGTGCCAAACGTTGACCTATCCCACGGCTCAGGTACATCTGCTGCATGCCGCTTCAACGACTCCAGCCATGCCTTGAGCTGACTGATCGTCCTCTCGTCAGTCGCGTTCCCGTGTTGGACCACCAACAGACCACTTTTGAAACGTCGTAGCGTTATAGGAAGGCCCAACTTGTCCCACGCTTCAGCAGCCTTGTGGAAGTCAGATGGGCTAACAAGCTCCACGCCATTTTGACTTCTATTGAAAATCGCCCAGAGATCGACCAGGCTCATTGTGCCGCCCTGGTGCCGTAGTATGCCCCTCCTGTCATCCATGGCAAATTCCGCCAGATTTCGCGCTAGCTCGGTGATGTAAAGGGTATTCGAGCTATCACCAACCATGTCTTTTGTCGCCACCATGCCGAGCGCGGCGGCCGATTGAGAAAGGAGAGGGTCCGAAACAGCGCCTCGGAGGCCGACACCAGCTCCCGATTCTTGAGCAAATCGTTCCGCAAGGGCCACCACGTCCTTAGCCGACGCCATCAAAGCTTCTAGATCCTCAAAGGCATTTCCCAAAACAGCTTCGTTGATTCTACGAGTCTGTAGGCCTCGCTGCTCAAGCCCAGCGATGCCCACAGCTGTTTTCCGTGGCTCGGATGGTGCCGGGCTTGCACTGCTGATGGGCATTGGTGTATAAGGGCTTTCAGCCCGTGGAATTGGCGGGGCATTTTGCAGCAACCACTTTCTTTGTATCATGGCATTCTTTAGCCGCTCATAGAACACTCGATCGCCCCCGTTCCTGAATGAAACCTTGACGCTCGGACACTCATGCTCGTCTC